ACAATGCTTTAGTCAGGCTGAACACAAAGGGCAACTGAGGAGGATCGCTAAAGCAATCCGAGTACCGCCCACTCGCACTGGGCAGGTGCTCCCCCACGCCTTTACGCACATGATCGATGTGAGACGTGTGCAAGTAGAAGCCGGAATACACACCATTGGCGAGGCAGCCTGGCAGCGCTGCAATAGGCTGTTAATTGTTCACCTACCCAGTACAGTAGTCTGCCTGAAAGATGGCGTCTTCCGTCGAAGTTATGTACTCCACACCGTCGCTGCCCCAGAGTGCAGATACTTTGGGAGCTGGGTGTTCGAGGAATGCTACGCTCTAGCACAAGTTGGGGACCAAAGCCAAACAGGCAATCAGCTGGCGCCGCAAGCGCGGTTCCATACCCGAGCCTTCGAAAAATGCCGCACTCTGCAGCAACTCAATTTTGAGAGAACCGAACATGATCCGCGTGATGCGCATCGGTTCATACCCGAGGGTTGCTTCTTGGAGGCAGGACTAGAGTCGCTAACTCTGCCGGCAGACTTTAACTGGATGGGGCCAGCTGCGTGTGAACACTGCGTAAGGTTGCAGGCAGTGGACATTTCGCAGACTGAAATCAGTGAAATTCTAGGGGGCACCTTTGCACATTGCTCTCAGCTGCAGCAGCTCAAACTAGCCAAAAAGGTGAGACGAATTGGGCGAGACGCCCTCCTGAATTGCACCTCTGTGGGCGTGCTACATACCCCACCCGCTTTGCTATACATTAACAAACGAGCCTTTGCAGGATGTACGCAGCTGCGCAAGCTCGTCAGGGTGGGCAAGAAGGGAACCTGGAGAGGCACCTATGCAGAACCTGATGCTTTCGAGTTGTGCGCAAAACTTGTACTCCCAACGTGGATTCGGCTCCTCCCCAAGCCAACCGATGGCCAAGAAGAGTGGGCGGATTTCATGAGAAGCTGTGCAGAAGCGAATCTCAGCTAAGTCGCACGTCCGTGACTGATGCACGTACATGGGTCGGAAGAAAGGGATTCCTAGAGTAGCTCGGCCAATCAGATCCAGGCTTGCTTGCAGGTTCTGAGCAAGCAATGATGACTTCGTTACCTCTACTGAGTAGATAGACAGTGCCCAAGGCTGCCTCCCAAGAGGCGGTCAGGGAGGAGTACAGTGTACAGTCCCTAGTACTAGGAATAGCGGCGTTTCACTGTTTCACGTAGATTATGGGGCATGCATGTCTTTCTGAAGCCAAGAGCACTTGTGTGTCAATGCCAAGATGCTGAACCTGCACGGGCTGGTCAACAGAGTCTTGCCTGCAACACTCCTCGAGTGCAATGCAATGTCACGTCAAAGTCATGCAATGTCATGCAGTGTCATACAGCTTCGTAACAGTCGCTCCCGATCGCCAGTTTGGAACTGCTGTCATGGAGCACACTCTCGTCACCTCCCCCCTTCGGGGGGGAGGAGAGTGCTGGGGAGACACTACTGTGTGCCTTCTTTCACCCTTTACCTTGCTCTCTGCAGGCCACGATCTCGTAAGCTTGACCAACGATTCCAATGAACAATGCCTTCCCACGACATGCCCTTAGCGCAGTGGCGCCTGTGCTCGGCCAACTGTTCACTTTGCAAATTTCCTTAGGATTTTGAATACGGTGAGTCCTACACTACAGTGACTATCCATCGCCTTTGTACTCTGACCTATAGTTAGGCAAACACTCAAGCAACGGCAACGAGCTGGAAGAAACCTGCCACCGACCGAAGGAGTCACATGCCATACTGAGTAGGCCGGCAAGGAGCAAACCAAATCTGTCATAGGCTGAGTCGTGCTCTTAGATATAAGTTATGATTCGCCTTTGCACTGAGCTTTGATTGAAATGCTCCTCACAACTGCATACTTTTGAGCGCACCGTTGATCGAATTGCCTGCGCCGAAATAGTTGCAATTGTACTCACCGCCCAATAAGCAGGAAGTTAGCTACCTGCTGATCAACTTGAACTGAGCGCAGACAGAAATATGAATTCAATGCCCCGTCTCACCCTCCGTTCTAGGTGGTTTCTTCATTTTTCACAGTCCTGATGAGATATGAGCCGGTCTTGGTTCTGTTGGGGTTTGTTTGTTCGTTTGGTGTTTGGGTGCTTTTTTCTTTTTCTGGCTCGTATCTTCTCAGCTATCTCATCGAATTCAATCAAGGTGACTTGTGCCTCTCGGCACACATACCGCCCGTACCCGTGCAAAAAGAAACGAGTCGAGGCACCATGTGTGCAGGTTCTGCACAAGTCACCTTGGTCGAGTTGAGAGGGAGTTACCATGCAGGTTGCAAACCGAACAAGAGAGCAAAACACCCAAACACCAAACAACCCAAAACCAAAAACACGAAAAACACCAAAGGGAGGGAAGCAACCTGTTGCGCAACTCATGTGGCCGTGAAAGCCGCGAGAGAGAAGGTGAGACAGGGGCGTTGAATTCCGCAAAACTCTCAGTACTTCTTGTCCTTCAACAAACTGCTTGACACTTGATTGGTTCTTGGCATGGGGAGATGGGACAGGAGTGGGCCGATCCAGAAAATGAAAATAGGGCCTCGGTTCAATGTTTGAAGCCAAAAACCTCGCAACATGTTCATGTGTTAGGAGTCTAGAGGGTGGGGAGGGCAGCTGTTGAAAAAACATGAAAATAAATAAAATTGGCAAAGATGGCACTTTTCACACATCCCTCACAACTCCCCCACAACCTCCACACCCAACTCACCAACACCTCCACTTTGTCGCTGGATGGGTTCAGCCTGAAGCCAGCAAACCATCATTCAACACCAAACCTTGGGCATCAAGCTTTGCTCATTTCCTGTGGTCCAGAACGCTTGAAAACCGTGGAGACCCGACCCGACTTTTGAGGCCAAAAACGGCCTCAAATTTGAGGCTAGTTTCAGAAAAGACGTGGAGGAGTGAGTTCCCTGTGTCACATGGAAGCACACATTTAAAACAGGGTAAAGGAGTGATTGTATTGGAGGAAACAAGCGGAGGAGCATTACACCTCCACATTTTGTTGTTGCGCAAGAGAGATCATTCCGTTCAGAAACTGTTTTTGGTGTTTTTCTTGAAAAGAACATCAGCGATGTCCTACAGTAGTTGAAGAAGATCAGACTGCAGGAGCGCTTGGAGCTTGGGGAAAGGGAACTGCGGATAGAAACTGGGGAGGGGACAGGGACTTGGAACAAGGAACGGGAACTGGGGCAAGGCGGGCTTAAGCCCCGTTCGAAAGGGGGGCTTAAGGGGTGCTTTAGGGAGGCTTAAGGAGGGCTTAGGGGGCTTGAATTTGTGTGTTTTTTGTTCTCTCCCCCACCAAGCTGCAGTGTCTCCATACTTCTCATGATGACCTGGGCACACCCCCCACATGGCGTCCGCACTCGTGCAAAAAAAACTTAGGGAGGGCTTGAATTGGGCGCTTAAGGGGGGGTTGGGGGGCTTAAGGGGGGGCTTAAGGGGGGACTCAAGGGGGGACTCAAGGGGGGGCTTAAGGGGGAGCTTGAGGGGGCTTAAGGGGCTTAAGGGGGGTGCTTAAGGGGGGGCTGAGCTTTTGTACCTTCGGCGGGGGGGGAAGGGAGGGGACCTTCGTAGGGGCCTTCGATCAGGACGACACACGCGTGAACAACGTCACCAGAGGAGCGCCACTTGATTTATGGGGCTTACTAACACAAAAGGTGTTTCAGGGTTGGACACTCATGAGAAAGACCATCATTTACAAACACAATTGATTTTTATCAGAAGTCTGCTTGTATTTTCTGCCTTTCTTGTTACTATCTTAAAACTTATGGTTTTATGATTTTTTACATTAAAAGACGCAACTACACTTTATCTATTGGAAGCTCCCTAATCATTGGCATCAGCGTTTTTTTTTCAGTGGTTGGAAATATAGAGTCAAACAGTTTCAACGGATTAAGTACTCATCACAAAATGAAATATACGTGTACACGCACACACAAAAAGACTGAAATCTAATGTTCATTGGAAAGCGCATTTCTTTAGTATATATGTAAGTTGTTTACAGAGAATTGGTTCACTTCTCTTTGGCTATGAAGTGCTTCCGCATAGTCAAATGTTTACCATAAAAATACGACAATCAATATACGAAGACAACACAACATAGACACAAAGGAATGAACAAACTGGAGGAGTCAACGCAGAAGGGTGTGCATTTCATTCTTGGAATTTTGTATGGTTCACTGACCCTTTCGACTTGTCGATCCTTGTATGAGGACGAAACGACGACTTTGAGTCGAACGAACTGCCTGCAAAAATGAGGATGGGATCACTGCCCTGCACTGTGCAAACTGCAGAGAATCTTGCAAAACCGCAAAATCCACCAAAACCATGGAAAAATTATGTTCTTTTTGTTGACTGTGTGCTTTGTGGATGCATTCTTGTTCGTGTCCGTTCTTGGTTCCGATGCATTTCAACTTTGTCAATGCTGGCGTCATTGGGACTCCTGCGACCAAGACCCTACCTTTTCACATTTTTGTTGCTCTTTTGCTTAGTTTATTGGTTGCAAGCCCCTTACAAAACCATCCAACCCAGGTTGGGGTAGGAGAGAGCTCGCGGGTCCAACAACCGAGCTTGTTCTCTCACTAGAAACGATGATTGTACGTCGCGGCGTGCATCCAGCCAGATGAATTGTTGTTGAGGCTGATGGACAAGTGGGGTGGCGTGTGCTTGGATTATTTTGTTGGCACGTATATAGTCACCCAAAAATGATGTGTGGTTGTGTTGCGGTTCAAGCTTGTTGAAACTTGTGCCACAGAGCATTCCTGCTGTTCCTGCGATAGCAAATCGACTATTTACACAACCAGGGTTGGTGTCCCATCGATGTGGCGAAAGAATTGGTTCCGCAGCCTTGATTGGCCTTGATTGGTTTAACCAGATGCAACAAATGAATGTGCTTTGATGTTTGGGCATGACATAGCTGAGGTGGACATTTTGTTGGTCATGACTTATGGTTTGTGCACAAAAAAAACTCAAAGCTTTTGCACACTCTGCCGTCAAATGATAAAGAACAAACTTTTGGACCTCGGTGTTTGTGTGATGTAGCGTTCGACCTGCTTTCGAAGGCGCTGGGCAGTCAGATTGCAGTAACCTGTGCGTGATAATTTGGCACCAACCGCTTCAATGTGCAGGAAGATGGGTTGCTTGGAGTCAAGGGCATCTAGCCATGTGGCGAACCCACACAGACCGACACGGAGGATGATGTTTGCGTGCATACGCCTTTTGATGATTTTGTGAGGGTACGCATGGCAGAATCCCTCCGAAGCCGACGGAGGCGCGGAGGTCACGGCGGAGACGGCGTGAAGTTCGCGGGCTCCGAATGTTGAATTTGCCAGGGCCTGGATGATGACGACTTGGGCTGGTTAACTGGAGGTGACAAGTCTCCAGTCCGAGTCTGACTTTGTGATTTTCAGACCGTCACATTGGACATTTTCAACATTTTCAGCTTTCAGTCTTCCAATCTATGGTAAATCTTGCTTGATTCAATAGCTGCAGGTCACACCTGCTCGGGCTTTGGCCTCCACAAACAGGAGTTGCGAGAACTGAAAAGACTCTGATGGCTCGAACGGTTGTTTGGAAGCTGTTGTGAACAGTCGACACTTGACTTCAAACAGTGCTGCTTGTTGATGGCGTGGATGTGCCCCATGAAATGATTGGTCTGGAAAATTTAGTTTAGTGCTGTCTAGTCAAGTGGCTTCAACCGATGTGTTTGAAATGAGAGGCCCGTTGCGGGCAGAGTGGAATGCTGCAGGAATTCGGGATACAGGGAAGATGCGCCTTTGACGGTCTCTTCCTTGGCCATTCTTGTGCAGATTGGTATTGCTGCCCAGTCTCCTCCAAGGTTCGCGTACAAATTGAGCTGGAGGGTGGATGGAAAGACTGCTCAACTGACGAGTTGGAGACTTGAGGGGAGGGATTACTTGACAACTCATGGTTTATCAGTTCTGCCAGCGTCAAACCGTATCAAAGCAAACCCAGAGGTTTGAGTGAATTTGTTGTCCTTGGTGTTCAGGAGAACAGTCAGACTTGGTTGAACCTGCGTCAACAGTCTTTTGCATCGTTTTGAACCGTCGCACATTTTGCGAGTGTCCACTGACTCTCGGAAACGTTGCCTGGCTGCCCCCCAAGGATGCGGGCGATATGCCGACAGTTGGCAAAGGGTGAAGTTGTATTTCAGTCAGGGCACCAAGAGACTCAAAATGTTTGCAGCTTCGAGCAGCTTGCTTCGACCAACTGAGACATCATTCCTTGCTTCGACCAAGTAAGGATCCACGCGCGTGGACAGAACTACCAAGTCGATTTTTCCCGTTGGGTTCTCAGAGTTTTTTCTTGTTTCGTGGTGTTTTTGCGGATATTGAACTTCAGGTGCAGAGGGAGGAGGAACTCAAACAAATATCAGCACAGGGAAAGCGTGAATGGCTCGGCTTACAGCAAAGGCACTAACAGTTTGCAGTTTGCTTGACAAGACATGTGAGGAGCACATAGAGAGTCTTCATTTGCTGTCACTGGTCTTTGGTTTGATCGAGCATGTGATGGCTGTATTTGTAATTCGTGTGTTTCTTGCCACTTCTAGCTGTGGGAATGAAAAGGACACCTTGAAAAGGTCCCCAAGAAGAACTTAGAAAGGGATAAGCTGTACTGTGGACTGAGGCGGAGACTTCGAATCTTAGATGCAGGTGAAGAAGAGCCTGTTCCTGAGGACTGGCGGTAGATGATTCTGGCTTGCAGTTTTTCCGGAACCTCTAGTGTGAAGTTTGCGCAGAATCCTTGCACTCAAGCTGTTGTAGTGAACTATGTGGTCCTTCACGTTTGAATAGGCCAGAGGATTGCCTTCAGGAGGATGTCGCGGTTGGATCGGGTGATGCACCCGAATCTACTCCTGCACCTGGGGCTGATGAGGGTGCTGATGCACTGGGCATGATGGATGCAGCAGCCAGTGTGAGGGCCTGAATGGTTTCGTTGGACTACAGATATCGCAACGCACCTACATACAATATTTTATAGTATAACATATATGTATATGCTTGCTCGTTTCTGCTCACAGGCGCCCGTCTCACCGGAAGTTGCGTTGCAGAAGTCGCCCTGACCTCGGGCCGTCGTCCACCAGGGCCGTTGGGCGCCCACTCGATCGACCGAGGTATGGTCCGCAGAGCAAACGTTCGGCCGCCGAGAAGCACCACCGGTGGGAAGTGGATGGACCGACAGGGTCCAAAGCGGATGGAACCCTTCGGATGGAAAGCGGCGCTTGGTTTCTAGAAAGCTGTGAACGTTTGCTTCAGGTGGCGGTGCTTCGATGCACCCCTACAAGGTTCTGGAGGGCAACGAACATGCAAAGGCGGAGTCCGTTTGCATGTGTCAAAGTTGCTATGAAGTCAAGGAGCTTCGAGACATCAGTGCATGAACAGTCGTAAAACTTTCCAATTCACCAACAGTTCGTTCATAATTTTCTTAAGCAAAAGAACCAGTATGTCTGTAAATCCTCGGGCCCTTTTTAGCATGACTAGCATCATTGCTAAGAACGTCATTTTTTATTTGCATTCACAGCACCTCTAGTGCATATTCCTACGATGCACACTCAGCGCCGGGAGTTAAGTTTCCTCAAAACTTTAGGAAACCAAATCATTAGTGCGAGCGGGAGCTTCCTCGAAGAAGCGTGAGCTATCCTGCGTCCTGAGGAGTAGCTTGCTTGCAGGTAGTAGCTACCTAGCTTCTACTAGCTACCTAGCTACTACCTCTGTGGCATACCCTTGGGGATCAAAAAACAGGAATGGCTTTGCGTCCTAATCTCTGAAATCTAAAGTACTGCCGTTGGAGTCCATGATGGTGATGCAAGTGTTGTGCTTTAGTATGGCGCAGCTTTGGGTGAGGAAAAACTTGAAATTGAAAGCGTTGAACCGATTCCCAAGGAAACTTTTTTCTTAAGAGTTTTTTGTTACTAAGCAGCTTCAAAGACATACTAAAAAGCTTCTTGTTATTCCTCAGGAGACAGTGAGTTTTATCTTGCAATATGCTGGCAACCCTGCAGAAATGCTTCGCCAAGTTCGAAGAGAACGAAGCGAGGCTTTGCGGTGAATGGGCAGTCTTCTACCACTCGTGCCCTTGCACGAAGGTCTGGAAACTATTGTTCAAGAAGCTCTGATGTAAGGTACTCTTTTGCTGCTTTAATCTATGAAGTACATGCCGCTGTTGGTAGTGTGCTTTTCCGCTTTCGGTCACAGTCTGCTTCTCAGAAACATTTCGATTTATGCAAGAAGTCAGAAGTTCTGGTTCTGAGTTCAACCACAGTTGCCACAGCTTCTATGAAATAAACGGCAAACTTTCCGGATCACTCTTCATATCAGCTTATTAGATTCCAGACAGGTATGCGACCCTTCCTCGGATCCTCATGTGTGGTCCTCAACTGCCGGACTTGATAGTGAAAGCAGCTCAGCAAATGCTGGAAGGCATGAGTTCAAAGAGACGCCGGATATTAGCTATTTGATGAAAAGGCAAGCCCGTTTGGCAAGATGGTCGAATTTTGCACTGCAAATGCCTGCCATCTTTACTGCCTTCCTTCTTGTTGCAGGTTCAACGAAGAATTTGCTGAAAACAAGCTGGACACCCAGTCCAGCCACCGGAAGTGAATGGACACCGGAAGAAGTGGCGCTAAATGCAAAAACAAAAGAAGAGACATAAAACTCAATTGGAACTTTGACCCTTGGTGTACTTTCCGCCCGACCCCAGCAGAGTGCAGGCGGGACCATCATCCGGATTTCCGCAGGGTTGGACTGCCAAAACCTCAGGAGTTTCGCCTAGTTTGTTCTTGCCACTTAGTGGCACGTTGCCAGATTGCAACAAGATGCCATTTGTATTTGTCTCGACAGTTCAGAACCTCAGACAATCCAAAGCAACGGGACAAAGACCGCAAAGTGCTAGTAATTTAACCATAGGCTTTCAAAACCAAGCTTGATCCTACACTATGTCTACTGTTTATAGGTTACCAGTATCAAATACATCATCATCATCATCATCACAATCATCATTATAATTATCATCATGACAATCATCAGTATCATCATCACAATCGTCATTATCATCATCACCATCATCATTATCATCATCACACTCATGTTATCATTGTCACAATCATCATTATCATCATCACAATTATCATGATCATCATCACCATCATCATTATCATCATCACAATCGTCATTATCATCATCACCATCATCATTATCATCATGACAATCATCATTATCATCATCACAATAATCATTATCATCATCGTTATCATCATCACCATCATCACCATCATCATCATCATCATGACAATCATCAATATCACAATCATTATCATCATTATCATCACAATCATCATTATCATCACCATCACCATTATCATCATCACCATCATCACTGTCATCATCACAATCATCATTATCGCCATCACAATCATCATGATCATCATCACCATCATTATCATCATCACAATCGTCATTATCGTCATCACCATTATTATCATCATCACAGTCATCATTATCATCATCACAATAATCATTATCATCGTCGTTATCATCATCACCTTCATCATCATCATCACCATCATCATCACCATCATCATCATCATCACCATCATCACCATCATTATCATCGTCACCATCACAATCATCATTATCGTCATCACAATCATCATTATTATCATCACAACCATCATTATCATCATTGTAATCATCATCCATCATTACTTTCATAATCACAATCATCATTATCATAATCACAATCATCATTATCATCATCACAGTCATCATTATCATCAGCACAATCATCATTATCATCATCACCATCATTATCACCATCACCATCACCATCACCACCATCATCATCATCATCATCATTATCATCTTAATTGTCATCATGATGATGCAAAGCATCCTGCCAAATCCTCGAAAGGACCTTGTACGCTCCGTCACACCAATTGCACCTGTTGCAGCGCCTGTTGTCACCCTGTGGTGAGTTGGATGCCTCAATTCGTGAGTCACCCACCCGCGCGCTTTCACGGATGAAACAATGTAAGGAGATTGCTTTAGGCCTGCAGAAACGTTCATTTGAGAAAACAGTATGTTCTTTTGAAAATCAAACACATTGACATGGGTTTGTGTGATGAGGATGTACGTGTTTTGACCCAACCATTCAGTTCCAATGTGTTCCGGGCAAGAATCCATGGGACCAAGGTCTGTGATGTGTTCCTTGGCATCAACTGGACCCGAGGCCTGTGCCAGGCCCTCACTTCCCGCCATGGAAAAAACGTCCGTGTGACATTGTGAGACTGGACAGCTGAAGGATCTCCGAAGTATTTCAGTTGTTTCTAGCTCTTGAATTTGAGGTGGCAATGGTCTTTATTGCAGGTGGGGTGAAATTGTCCGCTTGCAGACTTCCCCAGCCTGTCTCATGTTCAGCTTCTGAGGTTATAGCTGCAAAGACTTGTCCTTTCGCAGTGTGCTTTAGCTGAAGAGACTTGCTTTTTCCCGGATTAAAGGTGGAGCGGTGAATTGGGCTGAGGTCTTGGAGAATCTATTAGAGAGTTGCTATGTCCCGAGGGCCAAGGTGGGAGTGTCCTCTTTGGCAACACATAACTTGGGGGAAGAGATTTTGTGTCGTTCATGGTCTTTGCAGTTCCTGTTGCGGCGAGTTGAGTAGCATCACGTGGAAGGTGCGGAAATTGGCAGATGAGATCATTGCGATGTGCATTCCTCATGATGGAGCAAGTTGTTGCGTACTGGACATGGGTCCTGTTGGGCGGTCTGGAAGTGGGTCTTGCGGCCACTCCGCCAAGCATGCTGAACGCTTTGAGGTCTGAGAAGCATGGCCTGGACGTGTCGCAGTTCGGTGGCAAGGCCGGCGTTGACGAGTGGTGAGACTTCAACCACCGTAGTAGGCAGAGCAAGTATGGCTGGAGATTGTTGTGGAAATACCAATAGTAAAAGGTTTCTGACCACAGGCCGCAGGACACCAGGTTGTAGGTAGAAGTCACCTAGGAAGCCCACACTAAGAGCCTCTTCGGCAGCAGCGTCAATGGTTTCAGGAGTTTCAGGGTCAGTTTCGCTGTCGTGCGCAGACCCAAGACGAAAAGAAAGTGACAGGCGTGCCAAAGTGGCAAGGCTGGTCACTTGATGCAGCTTTTCATCAAACGTGTCCTGGCTTGAACAAGGAAAAGCTCTGGTTTACTCAGTTTGTTGCGTTTGACCATTCGTTCATCCGTGAGCGGTTTTCTACACGCCCGATTTTGCGTTGGCTTTGGGCCGGTGTGGGAACAAGTATGTCAACAACGCGAAGAGTGTACATTGCAAGTAGGACGGTATCTATCTAAAGAATCTAAAGAATTGTTCCGGACATTTTGCCGCAATGTGCTTGGCCCTTGGCTGAAAGTAGACGCTTCATCTGAGGTAAGCTCGTGGACAAGTTGGTTTATGCTTCTGGGCTTGACGAGTCGTGTTTGGCGTTGCCTCGATCCTCGTGTTTTGTCGTGATTAGGCTGCAAAGCCCTATGGGCCTGTGGATGAAGAGTGAGGGTCTCAGTTCGTGAATGTCTGGCCTCTCAGCATTGGGGGGGATGCTGATCTCTCAGGAGGATGCCCATCTCCCAATGGTTGGATAGCAACAAGTCGACCCAGGTCGGTCAGGCCTGGAGCGAAACACATGGAGTAGGTGCTGCGTCTGCTTGATTGATCAATGCTGATCATGCAGCCGTTTTCAGGCTCGTGTGCTAGCGCACCCCAAGTACTTCATGCAGGCTGCTTGTAAAAAGTGAGACACATATTGAATAAGTGAGTGAGTCAGTGAGTGAGGGAGGGAGGGAGTAAGCGAGGGAGGGCGTGAGGGAGGGAGGGAGTGTCTTGAATATGTTTGCCTGCGCAAGATTGACTGAGGCGAACTGTGTCCGGATGTTCGTCGCCAGCGCTGATCCAACATTTCACAGGCGAGCAGTGGCCAGCATCGATTGATTCGATGAAAATTGGGAAGCCCGCAGCCTGCATACGTGTTGCGGTATTTCCTGTGCACACCATGCAGGAACAGACAAGCTTTTCAGGATGAGCTTATCAGGAAGCCTGGTCCTCAGAGATGCTTGCTCCAGGCTTTGGTGTCTTTTTCCAATCATGTGAATCATGTGGTCCTCGTTCAGCTTGGCCAACTTGTATGCAGTTGTGGCAGAGCTACAAGATTGGCCACTACTTTCCCTCACTATGTCGCCTAGCACCACAAGGGGAGAATTGAATGACAGTTGAAGAATGTCCGTCACATGTGGCTGGTATGAAACATCGACCTCCAGTGGCCCTTAGCACTGATGGGATTTTTCAACATCTGTCGTTTGCGTGAAGTCGATCCATCTAAACCGGTCCAAAGAACAGGCGTTGGGAGTTGAGCCACGTGAATCAGTTGAAGAACGGACCGTTGGCACAACCTGGGATTTGAGCCTCAGCCTAAAATCTGAAGACGGAGACTCAAGGCATTTGTTAATTGTGTAACAAGAAGCTACTACCTAGTAGGTCGCTAGTAGTAACAAGGGCATCGCTACTAGGACCAAGAGCGCTACTAGGGGCTCCTGGCCTTACTACTAGGAGCGATCGGACGCTACTAGGAGCAAAGGGCATCGCTACTAGGAACAAATCTACTTTGTGAATCCCGGGGCTGGACGTGGCAATCTGTCAAACCGTCAAATAGCAGACGGAGCTGGACCCCAAAGGCCCCAAGGCCCGAGGTCTTATTAACACTGCTGTATTTCTTGGTAGCGGCTTCTAAAGGCTGGCTGTTTGCATGGCATTCCTCACAATCTGTCAAACCTCGCATGTTGCACAAACCCGAAAATGACCCGGTTGAAGGCTCGCATCCAAAAATTCTGGGACTTGACCATTGCTTTCTTGCTTTGTTGCCTCAGCTTATACAATACGTTTATTTGCAATGTACATGTTTTTGTTGTTTGTTTCTGTTCCACAACCCAAAACACCACAAACCCCTGCGACAACATCACAAGAAAGCCTAGTCCAATCATGCTTGAACCCGTGTTGGTTGAAAGAAAATGGAACATTTTCTGCTGGACAAAATGTCGATGCACTAGGGTGGGGGAAGGTGGTTTGGCCAAACCATTTTGGCTCAAGCCACCCTTCCAAATTTTTGAGTTTGGAGGGATGCCTTTCGCGGGCCGCATCCTTGTGGCCTTGGTCGCTTGCCATGTTCCCGAGTGCGGAGGCGGCCTTGCAAATGGGCAACATCCCGGAGCTGCTCTCGTACTTTGCGGTGCCGGAGGACCTGTGGTCGGCCTTTGTGCGGGAAGCGGGAGCCCCGGGCGACGACATTCGCTTGCTGGCCGCCTTGCCTGGTTCGGTGGTAGCCGCCTCCTTGAACCAGGCGACCTTGGCGGACGACGTGGCCTTGACGGCAGTTCAAGCGGCCCAAGTGGGGTTGGTGTGGAAGCTGGCGAGAAGGCTGATGTTTGTGCGAGGTGGTGGCCGGTGGGACGACTGGGTGGATGAAGACCCTTGGACACCGGCTTCGAGGACAATGAGGACGACGACACCTGCGGAAAGGACTTCATCCACCGACGAGCTCAAGGAGGCGAAGGAACGGACTTTGAAATTCACCCAGGTACTAGATCAAGGAGACGATGGAGAGTTCGAGGTGCTGAACGAAGAGGACAAGATGGGGTTGCTCCAGAAGTTCATTGCGGTGACTGGATCGCTGCTGGAAGAGGAAGAGGAACCCACGATAGAACAATTATCAGCACTACGAAAGAAAGTTCAACTGGGCAAGCCGCCCTACTGCGACTTTGGGGTCTTTGTTCCCTTCGGAAGGAAGGCACTACGGGCTTCGAAGTACAGGACCTGGATCCCGACGGCCGAGGGCTACGTGTCGAAGGAACTACCTGGTCCGGCGAACTTCACACAGTGGAGGGCTTGCTACCGGGTCTTCACCACGGCAATGTTGATGTTGGAGGCTTGCTCACTACCACCATTACACGCCTACGAGTTGTACGTGGAGAAGTTGACGAGGCTGTACCCGGACGCGTGGCACCTGGTCTACGCGGCGGACGAGATGGCGAGGAGCGAATTGCTATCAAGGCTCAAGTTGAGGATTGCCATGGACAAGATGGAGGGCAAGAAGGTTCCATTGGGCTACGACGAGAAGAAACCGTGGGAAACACCGTTTCGCATGATCCCAAGCGAGCTGAAGTTTTGGCAGGACCAGATTCATGGACCTGCCCTGACGTGGATGGCTGCCGGATCGAAAGGAAGAGCACTAACTCCTCAGGAGACCATTGCACAAGGAGCCCTACGCGGAGGTGCAGAAGCTCTTCAACCCAGCATGGAGTCGGGGGCCTTCGGAGCCACTTCACCGTCGGCGGCGTCTTCAAGTCGAAGGAACGCGAATCGAGATCGCAAAGAAGCGAAGAAGAGAAAATGGCAAGCCGAACGGGAAGAGCTTCAACGACTCAGAGAATCCCGAAACGATGGAAGTGGAGGACCTCGTCAAGGAGGAAAAGGAGGCGGGAAGAAAGGGAAAGGAGGAAAGCAGTCCGAGATTTGCTTCAGCTGGAACAATGGGAATGCACCTTGTGGGTCATTGCCGGCGGGAGCGGAATGTCAGAACACGACGAAGCGGGCTCATCGGTGCTCTTCCTGCGGTTCACCAGGTCACCCAGCTCATCGGTGCGGGTCGAAGAAGTAGGGAAAGCAGCTGAAGATCGAGGAGACGAAGGAGCACGTGATGGTGATGATGCACCGGAGGGCTCAAAGAAGAAAGAAGGGGGTGAGGATGGAGCAGAAGACGAAGGTGCTGGCAAGAAGAAGTTGGAGGAGTCCATCAAGGCGTACATCAAGGCCCGCAAATTCAGGTTCGTTCACCACTTCTCTGGGCCTCGAGATCCGCTGGGAGCCGAAATACATAGAATGGCGAAGAAGCGCGGCATGACGGTGGAGGTGATCTCGGCGGAGAAGGATTGGGGCCAGGACCTTTGCGCGGACGAACCTTTCAACACGCACCTTGGTTGGGCGAAGGAAGGGTTGATCGACGGCTACCATAGTGGGTTCCCTTGCTCGACCTTTTCACGCCTCCGCTTCAGGGAAGCCGAAGGACTACCTCCCCCAGTTCGAACCCGAGCTGAACCGTACGGGTGCAGATCGAACTCCGAGAAGCAGCAGAAGGAGTGCGACAAGGGGACGGTGATGATGGCCAGATCGGCGCAGATGGCCGAGGAGGTAGCGAGATCGGCGACCTCATCCATCGTCATCAAACCCACGACTTTGGAGAACCCTCCACCTTCTGAGAGGAGTGATCACGTATCCGCTTGGGGCATGAGTGAAGTGGTGGCGTACCTTCGATGCCCCGGAGTGAAGGTCACCCAGTTCAACACTTGCGGCTATCAAGCTGATCGGGCACGAGGTGATCGACACTGGAAGTTGCAGCAATTCGCAGGGACATTGTTCGGCATCGAGCAGCTCAACAGGGAGTGCAAATGCGGGAGTGCAAAACACAGAGCAATCATCGGGAAGAGAGCCTCTCAAGAGTCGGGGGAGTATCCCTGGGAGCTGTGCAACGAGTATATGCCAAGCTGCTGATGGACCACTTCGAGAAGATGGCAACGGCGGAGTACCTCGAAGGCCGCATGAAGGAGTTGGACCAATTCCATGACGGCTTGTCAACGGGCGATGCCGAGGCCACGAAGATGAGAGAACTGAGGAGGAGGGAAGGGGTGAAGGTGTCACCATCGTCGGAACCGGAAAGGAGGAGGAAGGAGAGAGACGATGATCAAGGACGACACGAAGGAAAGCGCAGGAAGGTGGACGAAGGAAGGGACAAGGGCTCGTCTCGAAAGCAAGATGACCAGCGAACGCAAGGAGAAGGAAGAAGAAGGTCAAGGTCAAGGTCCACGAAACGACGAGGGGATGAAGGACCCACCACATCAAGGCGGAGGGCAAGTGATTCGAAGAGGGGAGAGAGCGTGAAGAAGGAGGACGAGAAGGAAGCAACCGACCTACGCTGGAAGCCCGGAAGCGGGAAATACGGGATGCTGAGGGAAAGCCAGAAGAAAGAACAGAAGCTCGACCAGCAGGACTTCGTCGGAGGCATGAAGAACCCGGCGGAGGTGGTGGAGGGGCTTCCAACACTCCAGAACCTGGGGCGCAGGATATTGGGAGCGTGGGAACGACTTTGTGGTCAGTGTCCGCAGATCACCAAAGTGGGAGAGACCTACGGCTCGCCGGATTGCGTCATGGAGAAGAAGTGGGTCGACCGATGGAAAGGGGAGCTGCGCAAGTTGACGGGCGCGAAGGGGGCATCGACAGTGAAGCTGAAAGGAAAATGGTCGTATCAATCACCACTGGATGGGAACTTGTTCGAAGCTTGGGGACGCCGAGCCCATGACCCGGAGACGGAGGTGGCCAAATGGATCAAAGATGGGGCGCCCCTGGGAATCAATTCAAACATCCGCAGATGCAACATCTTCCCACCAGCGGACGACAAACACCACCAGAGGGAGTTGGGGGACGTGGATACAGCCCAGAGCCTGCGGGAGGACATCGGAAACTACGTCTCGGTGGTGGAGCAAAGGGAGGATGCGGAAGCAGAGATAGAGCGCCTGAAAGGGCTGGGCTATGCCATCGCGGTCCGGAAGGAGGAGGTGGAAGCAGCGGGCTTCGAAGGGGTCACCATTTCGAAGCTGGGGCTGATCGTGAAGACGAAGGAGGACGGGTCCAAGAAAAGGCGGATCATCATTGACCTGCGCAGGTCCGGAGGCAACAGCAAGGCACTCCTACCGGAACGGCTGGTACTGCCCAGGCCCATGGACGCGGTGCTGATGCTGAAGAAGTTGCACTTGCTGCACGCGGAGGAGAAGGAAGCGCACCGACGAACCATGGAATTGGTGATGGTGGACATCTCAGATGCGTACATGCACCTAGCCATCAAGGAGTCCGAGAAGGGGCATTGCTTGGCACCAGCACTGGATGATGATCGCTGGCTACTGTTCGTGGCGCTATTGTTTGGCTACAAGACGGCGCCCCTGACGTGGAGCAGGGTGGCGGCGATGGTAGCGAGGCTAGTGCAGTCCATCACACCGGCGGAGAAGGGCGTGCGTCAGGTGTACCTGGATGACAGCCTGTGGGCACTATGCGGGACGCTGAATGAACGCAACCGCATCCTGTCGTGCATCCTCACCACGATGGCAGCGCTGGGATTGAAACTGTCACTGAGCAAGGGAGAACGCGGGGCGGCCGTGCCGTGGGTTGGGATCAGGCTCAAGCTGGTGGCACCAGGGGGTGGCCGAGACACTGGCCATTCTAGTGGCCCTCAAACACTGGGGGCGACTACTGGCGGCGGTGAACGTCGAGGTCACGGTCCAATCAGATTCCGTGACAGCACTGGCTTTGACGCAGAAATTCTCCAACAGCGGACCTGCCCTGAATTTCTTGGGGGCGGAACTGGCCGTGATATGTGAAGCCTTAGGTTTGGCCGACCTACGACCAGTCCATCTACCAGGCGCAGCCAACAAGGAGGCTGATTTCCTCTCCAGGCCTGACACTTGGGCCCAAGTCACCTTACCAGCTGCCCTAGAAGGGATTCAGATCGAAACGCCAGCGGAGCGGACGACCAGCTGGTACAGATTGCCGACTCCGGGACCGGACACCACTGAGTGGCAAGAGTCCGACGCCCTGTTGGCAGCCTGGACGCATCGATCCTGAACTTGGATCCGGCGCAGAAAAGGTGAGGAGGAGGTGAGGACTTAAGTCACGGGCAGGTCGGGGTTGGTCGACTTTTCGGATACGTTTCGGCGAGGTCGTTTGCGTTTTTCGGGGGGAGACGGTCATGACGGGGGGAAAACCGAGTTTTCGGGCTCAAAGATGGAGCTGACGGTCCCGCACACTTTGCCGGCGGCTCCCGGGGTGACGACCGCCGAGTCCTTTCCATGGAAGGTTTACTTGCTTTTCTACCTCGTCGCAACAGGCACCCTAGCCAACCTGGCCTTCGGCATATGGGCACTACACCAATTCGCCCGAGTATGGCACCGACTTCGTCCGCGGTGGACACCAAAGACGGCAGGAGAGGCGGAGGAGTCGGACCAGGAGGACCTTCCGGAATGGGACGCTATAGGAGAAGCCTGGAACATGGACACAGGCGGGGGCGTGGGCAGAGTGGACGACACACCACCGAGGGAGACGGGCCTCAGACATCGGACGGGGAGGGAATTCGAACATCGAGCTCAACCGGTGGCGTGGAGACAATTTTCTGGACTACATGACCCCAGAGATGCAAAGGAACCATGGGACTACGAGGCCAACTTCAGCGGTTTCAACACTACTGGATTCACCTGCCTCCCTGAGATCGCCCGGGTCGAGGGAGATGACCTCATCGAGGAACGACTCACCACCTTTGAGGGAATCGGTGAGGGAGACGGAGGGCATGTCCTGGCTAGTGACCCGGAGGTTGAATTCGAAAGATTCATGGCAACTATGATGGAAGCAGGTGAAGAGGGAAACTTGCAGGAAGAGACCATGGGCCAGAGACATCGTATGAGGAAGACCAGAAGGACCCTGGATGAAGTGGTATTCCCTCCATTGCCTCCAGTACCTCGATGTGATGAAGGCGAGCAAGCAGAAGGCCTGCTGAGTTTTGTGAAAAGGAGGAACAAAGGAGGAGAACAGATCAAGAAAGAATCAAAGGTGAGGATAGCGATGGAGTCGAGGCAACAACAACATCGGGGAGTACCGCATCGGCACGAAGGAAAAGCGTGGATGAGGAAGAGGAGATGTGATCTGCCCGAGGCCCCCAGAGAGCTTCGAGAAGACGACACCGAACCCAAATGGAGGCGGGCACTACAGACAGCACGGCTCTTTCGGGCAAACAAGAATCGCAAGACCCACACCGTGGAGAAACTGAAGAGGGGCTACTACGCAAATTCGTCAAGACGAGCGAAGATGTCGGTGAGGAAGACAGTCGAGAACATCCTGCAGAACTTGGGGGCGCGAGAGAAGGACTCATGCTGGTCCACGGAAACGTTGGAACAGATTGGCGCGGTGCTGAAGGAGTCGAACTACAAAGCCGGAGTGACCTACTTGTCAGAATATAAGCAGCTGCTGATCGAGAACGGAACGATGTGGTCCCATCAACTACAGAAGACCTACGGACAAGTGGCAAGGGCATTAAAAAGAGCAAAGGGCCCTACGAAGAAAGCAGCTGAGGTGGGTGAACTCACGTGGATGGTGGCTATGAAGAAGGAGATCAACGAGGAGGCGAAGGGCATAGTGCACAACCCCGCGCTGTTGTTTGCTTTTGCTACGATGTGGATGTTGAGGGAGGTGGAATTGGCGGCAATTCACAAGGGGGACATCCAGATCGACGCGAAGGAAAGGATTGTGGCCTTGACATTGAGGGTGGCGAAGAAAGACCAGGAGTGCTTGGGGATGAAGAGGACGCTGCAATGCTGTTGCAGAGGGGAGTGTGACTGGTCGGAACCCTGCCCATATAGGATTACATGTGCTGCTCTGGACGCGGTGCCAATCGAGGAGGAGAAGCTGGTGCATGGGGACCTCGTGGAACCAGTCTCCAAGTCGCAGATCATCACAGCCTGGAGGAACCTGTTCGGAAAGCAAGTGACAGGCCACTCTGGCAGGCGCTCCGGAGCACTCCAGTACATCCGAAGAGGGTGGCAAGTGCCCCAGGTGGGTTACCTGGGGCGATGGAAGTCCAACGTTATCCTGCAGTATGCGGAGGAAGCGTTGGAGACGATGCCGGTGATGACCAACCCACACAAGAAACTGAAGGGAGGAGGAGAAGCATCACCCAAGCCAAAGGAGACAGAGACGGCCACGACTGAGTCCAAGGAATGGACAAAGATCAGGGAGACAGAGCACCAACTGAGAAAGGAGATCACCCACCTGAAGGTCGCGCAGGAGAAGTTGGAGGAGTCGATGGAAAGGTGGGAGACGATCTCGAAACGGCATCACGGCCTACTACCACCGGCAGTGATCTCCAAGATGGGGGTGATACATGCCAACAAGAAACAGCCGGTTGCATCGCCAGTGCTCTCGTGGCACACAAGGTGTGGCTGGTTCTTTGGCTGCTCCGTCTTCAGCTTCGCCATGGACGACTCGAAGATCACGTGCTTGAAATGCTCCACCCTCGCGCAGAGCACAGAGGAGGCAACAAGCAAGGGTGGAGCTTAAATGGAAAGCTCGACTTCTACCAGCGATTTGAAAAGATGTGTGAATGAATTGGGTGGTAGAGTGCTGAGCTTGTCGCATGGGAAAGCATCCGTCCTTTCCAACCGACATGCAAAGTTTTTTGCTCCGTCAGGTTGAGCCTCATCTTAGCAGAACCATCCTTGCGAGAGCGTGCGGCCACAGGCGGAGGGAGAGACCACTTGAATGCGATCAGTGTTCCCATCAGCTTTCCATACATTTTCATGTGTGCAACATGCAGCCATATTCAGGGATTTATGGCGGCATGCAGCGGCCTCGGGAATGAAAAGGGTCCCTGACCTCAACCCAAGATGTTTCGCTCCGTTTGTAGGTTGCCTTCATGGTGGACTGCTGAAGATCAAAGAAAGCATGCTTGAGCTGCTTGGGTCCTTTCATTTTGCATCATGCCCTTGGAAATCAATTCCATTTGCTTTGTTGCGACAAGGATAAATAGACCCGGGATTCAGTGTCATTTGATTTCACCATGGGCAAAGAGCCCTTGTTAATGCTTTTAGGGCCGGCTAAAAGCCACAGCTGAAGCTAAGAAGCCAAGCTTTTGCCCTCTTCCCTATGAAGCTGCAACCTAGGGATGCCCAAGACCATCTGACACTTTGGGCGGCACAATGCCGAGAGGTGACCAGTGACAGATGTGTAAAGATGAGTCAGGGCAAGTCTTGCGCTCGCATGAAACATAGAGCAGATTCTGCTTCTGACTCTCCCCAGCGTGCAGGGTTGGGCCGCACTTTCAAGACCTTGAGATACTATTATATAAAGATTTGGAAAACTTGCTGTTTTTGGCTTTGCTCAAGGTATTCTTGGAGTTTGTCAGCAGTAGACATCTTTATTCTTTACCGCTTGTGATGTTTATTGCTGTACATGCCGGTCAAGCAAGGTAGGAATCCTCGAACTTGACGGCGGTGTCTCGTCTCATCCCTCCTTCATTGAGACACTTCGAAGAAGCTAGCAGAGGATGGTAGACGGCAAAAGCTCACTTGGTGATAGCTGGATTTGCTTCAGCTTTTCTTAGGCTATAGGTTGAAGCTTCTCCCCTCGACATTCTAGCAAGTAGGTCAATCTCCGATCCCGAAACCACCGATCGCAACAGCGATGATCCTGCGTGGCCTGCCACGTTTTCGTGCGCAGACCTCATGGTCTCGGGTAGCGAGTCGAACGTCTCGCAGAGCACGTGCTTCTCGGACTATTGGGATCAAGTCCGGAACATGGTCGTTGCATGTCGTTGCTACAAATGTAGTTTCAATCGTCTTTCTTTGTGGCCTTCATGACCTCCATCCTTCGTTCCGTCTGAGGTTGGCACGGCTCCGGTCGCCACATCTCGATGGTTCGAGTCCATGTGCTTCGCGGCAGGCCTTGGCATGGCTGGCATGGCAGGGTCATCTCGTCTCAGCTGTGAGGATCCAAAGATGCGACGAGTGAACGTGGCGCGTGCGGCCGACTTCGCGGATGGGGATTTGCGTCAGGTTCGAATCGTTGGGACCATGGATGGAGCTGGTGATGGAGCGATCATGCTCGCCTTCATCGATGGTCAGTTCTATGCAACTGGCGCGTCTTGTAGTCACTACAGTGCCCCTTTGGCAGAGGGTGTAGCTGCTAAGGACAAAATGCATGTAGTTTGCCCGTGGCATAATGCTGCGTTTGACATCCGAACTGGGCAACCAGTGAGGGGATCTGGACTGGAAGCGATTCCTACGTACCAGGTTTCTGTGGAAGATGGTAATGTCATTGTTCAGGTGCCATATGTCATGGATGACTTTGTGGCACCCGCCATGTCTCAACGAGATCCTGCTGATGAACGCGTGTTCGTCGTCTTAGGGGGTGGCGCTGCAGGTGTGGCTGCAGCTGACGCGTTGCGACAAGAGGGATACAAAGGTCGTATTCTGCTGATCACGGAAGAGAAGCATTTGCCCTATGACCGCCCGGTGCTTTCAAAGAATCTGGGCAAGGCCTATGACCCTGCATCCTTGAGCTTAAGAGACGAAGCATATTTCAAGAAGCATGAGATTGAAGTGAAATGCGCGGCCAGGGTCAAGAAACTTGACGCTGGACAAAAGACTGTCCATTTGGAAGGTGAGGTCTTGAAGTATGACGCAGCCTTGGTGGCGACAGGAGCAAAGCCTCGACCTTTGCCCATCAATGGTTTTGATCTGCCTGGAGTTCTGGCTTTGCGAACTCCTGAAGATGCTCAACAAATTGCCGCGGCCTGTCAACCAGGCAAGAAGGTGGCATCTCGGCAGCATTTGCAAAACTGGATTGGGACGCCCTTGTGCTACTGAAGGTGCAAGGTCTCATTGCGAGAGGGATCAGCGTCTTCCGCTCCCACTCTACCCGCAAATGAGTCTAACATAGCTTTAACAAAATTAGCTAATGATTACACTGCAAAGCAGACAACATTTATAACTTCAGTTTGACTAATGATGTCAGTCAAACGTTGTTTAATATTCATATTATGTTGCATTTGTGTACCACAAATATTTTAACTGTGCTATAACTTTGTACTTGAACATTTATCACTGACAATCAGCTCAGATCCCGCGATCCCTCCAGCCCATTTGGGTTTTTTTGCATTTTTCCTCGTGTTTTGCCGAATGATCGACAACTATATATGTATATATATATAATATATATATATACACATACATTTTCGGAACTTCCGGTTTCAAACACAATTTAGTTTGCGCCGGACATGAGTTTACTTGCGTGGACCTACTATTACTATGCCCACTGCTACGTGCCCGGATCACCGCGTGCGCCCAAAGCGCCCCGCTCGCACTCCTTGCGCGCGCTGTGCCCCAGAAGTCGAAGGCTGTAGCGGCACGAACGGCGCAAGCGGCAAACACATGTCCAGACACGCTTACCGCAATGTATTGGCTTTGTGAGCTAGTTTTTAGGTTGGCCCCAAGATCTAATGTTGGCCGCTGATTAATAAACGGGGGTGGCACATCTTGAAGTTTTGGTTTACCCCAAATAAAGTTCATCCCAGGCTCCAAGAAAGAATTTAGATTAGACATGAAATGAACCCTTTTTATTGATTTTGATTGTTATTGTTATTAATATTTACACAGGTTGGAGAATGTGCTAACTGTATTTAGGGTGGGTTTACAAGTCGGGGCGGGCCAGTTCACACAACCTTGAATCTGCGATCCCGAGGCTGTGCTTGGCTCATCCTTTATTGGTGGCTTTGTTGCAAGAGATGTAAACGTCCAAAGGTTGTTAAGACTACAATATATTCCTGTGAGGAACATGTTTTGAACGGTTTTTGCTAAGTGTTTCTTGCTGCGTTGGTTCGAGACGTCCAAGGCATGGAGCTGGCCAGCACCTTGCGTCGCAGGGGTTGCGACGTCGTGGTGCTGGGCATGGAACAGGCGCCCCGTGATGAAGTCCGTTACTGGGGTCAAGACCTTTTGGGTGGAAATGGTTTTGCGGAAAGAGGTTCGTTAGTTGATGGAGGTTTGTGCATAGGGTTCGTGGACTGATGAATAGTTTGAATGCTCCAGTGGGCGAACTCTATGGATACTGACACGATGGACATGTAGTTCGCTGGTTTACAAGGCACTTGCGCCTTTTTCACTTGCAAGGATGCGTGCGTTTGTCTAGTTTATGCGAATCTCAATACCTGTGAGAAGAAATCATGAACTCTCAAGATCCTTTACAATGCGTGTGGCGAGCTGTTAACCAATCCAAGAACCCATGCGAAGAGCTTGAGGAGTGTCAAGAACTACTGCCCCGGTGGGTCCTGGCATACTCAAGGATACTGTTGATGGAAGGGTGGCCAAACAAGCTCGCAACTTCAGGCTTGTTGAGCATCTCGCAAGTCAAGAGGCAATACGTTAGGTCAATCCACTTCATCCAATGCTAGAAAGCCAGACCGGAGAAACACCACATTTCAAAGTCAGTGTCATCTTGGATTCGCTGGCAGTGGCCGTGCACATTTATCAAATTTACGAGCTAATTAGAAGTGCAACCCTGCTTTTTGTGAACGGTCTTAAAAAGACGGGTCTGAAGATCCAAAGAAATTACAAGGTGCCCTTTGAGCGCGTGCTGGGCAACCGCTTGGGAGAAGCTCTGAAGGTCGCGGAGAAGTGCGGGAAGACATCTTTGCTTTTCCTTTCTTTGCTTTTCCTTTCTTTGGAGGGGAAAGGCTGCAACTGGAAGCTATACTTTACTTAGTAGTACTTAGTAGCTTAAGCTAGCAGCTAGTAGCTTCTTCATAGCCAGCAAAGGACGCAGAAGAACCTTTTCATGATTGGAACTTAAGGTCTGGGAAGCACTTCATGCCACCTCCAGGGTGAGGCTGCTTACGAAGTGCTTCCTGTTACCTATCTACTGTGCTTCCTCTAGGGAAAGTTCTTCCTCTCGTGTTAAAGTTCTTTTCATTGTACCTTGCCTGTGGCGAAACATGTCGATTTGGTGGGTAAGGCCTTCTTGTCAGGCCTTCTTTGAGACCAAGGGCGTGAAATTCTTCGGCGGCAAGACCGCTTTGGAGATTAAGAAGAGTGGATCATCTCTGCAGGCAGTGCTCCAATCCGGCGAGGTTATATCCTGCGATTCGATTGTGGTGGGTGTTGGAGTCATCCCTAATGCGAAGTTTGTCCAGGGTGCAGAGAAGGCTCCTGATGGCTCTTTGGTGACTGACCAGTTCTTGAAAGTCTCAGGTGTTGAAGATCTTTTTGCAGCAGGAGATGTGGCGAGCTATCCAGATACGTGTGGGGATCGAGCTGGCTTGATGAGGGTCGAACATTGGGATGTTGCGACCAGCCAGGGTCGATTTGCAGCCAAGAACATGGTGGGGAAACAGGAGCGCTTTGACCAGACCCCCTTTTTCTGGACATCCCTGTTTGGGAAGAATCTCCGATATGTGGGTCATTGCAAAGAGTTCGACGAGCTTTTGGTGGATGGTGATCTACAAAAGCTAAACTTTGTAGCCTACTACTGTCAGAAGAATGAAGTGAAGGCGGTAGCCACGATGTCTCGTGATCCGGTAGCTGTGGTGGTGGGAGAGCTCATGCGCATGGGCAAGATGCCAAGTGTCGCTGATTTGAAGTCTGGCAAGGCCTCAACGGCAGGGCTGGCAGCTCAACTAAAGCAGAGCTGCTGATGATGCTGTTAGCACTGTTTTGCTTTGCTTGGTTTGGTCTTGTGACAGTTGGGTGGGAGTTCAATGCATGTTGTTTTAAGCCCTCATTCTCCTCCGTGTCTTAGGTTCCTAAGCTCTGATACTGCCAGCTCCTGCCCTGCCCAAGATCATCCATCGATTCAAAAGAAAAACCACATGCGGTCCTGGTCTTCCTGTTGGCCTGTTGGTCCTTCCTGTCGGATTACTGGCAGCTGGCACGCTTCTCTACATTTTGTGCATGAAGCTGTCAGAGGGTCAAACTTGGGATTAACACTGAGATAAACACTCAGAACGAGTCTCGAAGTAGAGAGGCATAACCTCCTTTTTGTGCTTCTTGAATTGGGAGACAATACCTGGTCTAGAGCATTACTGTTGCACAGGTGTCTTCTGCAGTCCCAGTCGTGGCCCGAGTCCGAGTCATTCCCCAAGTCATGGCCATGTCGGGAAACGTCTCGGTCATTCCCGAGAGCCGTCTCTTCGCGAGTGAACCTGATCCTCGATGGTTTGGAAACCCTCGCAATCCAGCTGATGTGAAAGCACAGGGGTGGACCAATGAGAACTGGCTGAAGTCCAGGTTTCACTTCAACTTCGCCGAGTACAGCGAGGGCCCCAGCAGTTTCGGGGTGCTTCGGGTGATGAACGACGACTTGGTGCAGGGAGAGAGGGGTTTTGGTGAACATCCTCACAGGGATATGGAGATCATGACCTTCATCGTAGATGGCTACTTGACCCATAAGGACTCCATGGGCACCGAGGAGACCTTGGGCCGGGGCAGCGTGCAGTTCATGACCGCCGGCACCGGGATTTACCACTCGGAGCACAACCTTTCGAAGGAGCTGGATGGGTTTTTGCATGGAGGTCATGTGGCTATTAGGTTGGGATTCCGGTTGTGCAAAGTCGCATCCCGTTGGAGACTTTTTTGGGGACTCGCTGATCCGAATCAAATCCATGGGAATCAAGGTCATCATCTGGGTGGTTCTCGAATTATATGATTAACTGATCCCAAATGGCGTCCCCAGTCATTGTTGAATCCATTTTGACGTGTATTCTTTGATGTTTTATTGTTGGTGGATCGGCAAACAGGTTGAACTCTCCCTGTGCCAGGAGCCCCTGCGCTTCATCCAGTGTTGGGTCGTCCCGCGGTCTCGAGGCTTAAAGCCCCACTACGGCTCCGCGGCGGGGAACGAAGAGCTGACGGGGGCACGAAGGGATCAGTGGTGCCACTTGGTGTCCGATGTCATGGGATCCATGACGACGCCGGTGAAGATCAATCAAGATTGCAATGTCTTTGTGACGGAACTCTCAGCGGGCGTGGCATCGAAAGCCTTGGCCATTGGGAAGGATCGGCAAGCTTACTTGCTTTGCATGGAAGGAGAGATCAAGCTTGCTGGACAGGATTTGCAAAGGCATGACGCAGCTGAAATCAAGGGGCCTTTTGAGCTTGAAGTCTTGTCCGGAAAATCAGGAGCATACTTGCTGGTCTTTGAGATGGCACTGACTCGAGATGCACGTCGTGGCAGATGACCGGTTTTCTGTCGTTCTTGGCCATTTTTGGTGCTGAATCCTGGATACAAGATGGATTGAGCGCACTTCAAATTGGAGAGGCTCCGTCCTGGAAATATGATGGAAGAGCCAATTTGAGAAGGCAATCTCGGAGCCCATTTGGTGGTTCTGGATGCTTTTGTACAGACCTTTTTACTTGGATTGGTCAAAGGAAAAGGTCGACCCTCCTTCCTGTAGTTGCCTGAGCTCGTTCGTGACATTGACATTCGCCAGAAGGCAGTAGAAGGCAGTTGTTGACTACAAAATAGAATGGCTCTGCCTGCTGTGTAAAGGGCTGGGAATGGAACAGAATAGCGTTTGTTTTCCTTTGGCTCAAAAGCTGCCATCATGATTGGCCATACCTACAGAGTCCTGAGCCCAGCCAGCAGTGAAAAAATCGTCTTCTCAGAACAGTGCCACCTATTGTGACGTATCAAAAAGAACCGGTGGGTTCAGCAGCTTCGTGACCCACCACGTCTTCCTTGGTTTTGCCACACATCACATCGAAGGTGTTGGATCTCCCGAGCCCCATCAACTGCCGCGTTTTTCGCCGAGGCTCCACATGCCGCTCATCGCCGCCAGGCCGGGTTCGTCCCCCGGAAAGACCGGGGGTCCCCGGAAGACTTCAAAGGACTCGGAAGAGACTCGCCAAGTCGACGCTGGGATTTCTGCGAGGCACTTGATAAAATCGTACATGACACGCAGAGCGGTGTGACATGTGTAGAGACATAAGAGACATCAACGGAGAGTTGAGAACCATGGTTTCTCACCACTCTGATTGAGTGCCCGGGAAGAGATTTGGTCTTGCTTCAAAGAGTACACACGAGGGTATCGCAGATGAGTAAAATGGTTGGTGACGTTTTGTATCGGTGACATCCACTTTTGAACCGTGCAATTGGCAGAATGGCCGACCTCCTAGTATGCGTCCAAAGGCGAGCCATGAGCAAATCTTGGAGAGAGCCGGTGACTCAGCCACTGGCAAGAGAGTTTTGGTCCTCCCTGAGAGCTTGACCTTTGCTGATGTATATATTGGATGCCAAGATCCATGGAAACCTCTATAGCATTGTCGGCGAGGCGCGAGTACTCTCAGCTAGGATCATTGGCGCGCCACGGAGCAAGTAGGAACAACTCGAAACCTGTTTTCTTTTTCAACGTTTGATCGCACTGGTGACGAGCAGCCTAAAAGCCCAGGGTTGGGTGGGATGATCTCTACTTAGTTTATATGTAATGCAGTCATGGACCATTGTAGAATCCAATAAATAGCACACATGACAATCCAATAGCTACACAGTGCTTTTTGTGTCAAAGGCAGTGGATGAGATCAAGCTGGAGGAACAGAAATGGAGCAAACCAGTACCGTTGCTGAGAGAGCAGGGTTGATCAGTACTTGAGCAACTTCCATGCGAACCAACTTGCTTGGGATCGGCGGCTACTTTGGTATTTGATCGGCTCTCTAAGGAAATGGTCAAGAGAATCGTAGGCTACATCTTCAAGGCTGCCAAGGCGGATCACTTGCAGATGGTCGTGAGTGAGGAGTACCTGTTTCGAAGAAGGAAGGACCTTCAAATGTGTCGCATTCAAGGTTACAGTTTACACAGATTGTGAAATGCAGAGACGCAGACTACACACATATCTACAAATCAATGATCAGGAACGATAGGAACAGTCGGTCATTTGCGGAGGCCCCTGAATTTCTTCAGAAGCAATGGCAGGAGGCTGGAATTGGTGTGTTTCGCTTGGAAGCGAAAGGACCCGACCGTGGACAGACCAACAACACACACGAGATATATATCCGGAAATCGGAAAAAGGCCTGCGACTCACTGTCCGACTCACTGACCGACTCACACCAGTGCTTAAAACAATTTGCATCACTTCATCATTTCATGCTGCCCCGGCGTTCTGCAGCCAGAAACTGCATCCGTGCGCCGTGCGCCACAGTGAGTGTTGCTTTAGACTGGCTTCTGTGGCTGGCTGGCCACCGCATTCATTCACTCTCGCTCCCTCACCCGAGCGCCTTCACCTTGCGCTCGTTTTCTCGGCACCTTTCTCGGCACCGGCGTTCCGAACCCCCCTTCGGAGGGTCGAATTGGAAGGAACTGCTTCGAATAAAGGAGTAATGGACCCGCCAACCGGTCGGTGCACAACGGAAGACCTCGCTTTTGGAGGTGTCGAAGACGTTGGTCCACAATGCCATGGGCAGTTACATGGCAGCGTGTGGGGAGAAGCCTTGGTTCTACCAGGTTCGGCCCGACTTGGCAATCAAATAAGGAATGTTACGTCGCCATTAGGTTGGAGGCCATCGCTACTAGGTTGGAGGCCATCGCTATTACTGTATATAGGTTGGAGGCTTTCTTGTTCATTATCTTTGGGCATTGTTTTGGTTGTGCGGAGTGGTGCGCCTGGCTGACCTTGTCAATGGTGAACCAGAAGTTCTAGATTGCCGATAGAACAAAAGTTCTGTACTTGCCAGTTTGGACTCTCTTGAAACAGCAGAATGATTGCTTTTACCACCTGAATAGTTGGGAGTGACCCAGTGACCGGCCCGCTGTGATGACATACGGAGATGGGTCAAAACTTGGAGCTTTCGTCCACCATGTAGCGAACGACCGACGTCGGTAGGTTAATCAAGGTATCCTGGTTTTGACCCACAGCCATATCTTCAGTCTGTCCGAGATTTGGCTTCTCTTTTGCATTTCTATGGGCTTTGCCAACCGACTCCAGCTGGGCCTTGGCAATGCCTTCACTTCCGCCGTTTGGGAACTAGTACAAGCGCCAGGACCCAAGAGCAAACACGCGACCGATGTGTCAGTAGCGCTTCACGCGCATTCGAGCAACCTTTGCGCCAGCCGAGGCGAGGGGCATCGCGAGTGCACTACCAAGATGTACAGGATTTCACAGTTCGGGAGTTTGAAAGCTACTTGGACAAGTCCTTGCTGACGAAGGCCCGGCACCATCAAAAGACGTGGCTTTTGCATGCTTGTGCCTTTCGATTTATATAGATGTTCCCTGTGTTTGAGAACCTGCTTTGGCCACAAAACTGACGCACTTTGAGGGGAACAGCGTACAATCAACGAAAATCCTTAAGCCCAAGTTGTGCGACCGGTTCCATTTCAGGCTGTTTGGGATGCCACCGAGTTGACCTTTCCGAAGAATGAGTTGATCCGTGGAAAGGTGCGCCAGGAATGTCGCGCGATGCAGGTTCTCGTTGTCTTAGTCAACGGAATTTCCTCCTAAACTTCTGGTGTCAGATTGTCTACGTAGTTAGTTAGTTCCCTGGGCATTTCCAAGTCAGGCACCTGTTGTTTTCGTACACAGCGTACAGTATGTACAGCGTACATGTTGAACAGTGAGGTGTTCAAAGCTGTCCACAACACCTACCACCCCGTCTTGGAGGAGTTTGGCCCTGAGTTGCTTCAGCTCCGCCTCATCTCCGCTCCAGCTCTGCATGCTTGTCCGTCCCGCTCGGCAAAGTCCCGAGTCGCAGACCAAGCAAGGCTCCTAGCAGACCGCAGACCTGCGGATGATGTCGCAAGCTTGGTCAATGGAGGGCCATTTTTGCACAGCCTTCCGATGTGGTGCCAAGTTCGGTGGTCTGGAAGTGGGTTGTTGCATCTGCCAAGTTTGGTGCGGAAGAGACTGGAACATATCTTTTTGGAGACTGGAGTGACTGGAGGCCCGAAAAGTCGAAACCTTCACCAGACGGCCCTGCACTTGGAACATGAGAGGTGACATGTTTGCTGGCTTTCTGGTAAAGGTGATCCAAAACTTCAAAGACCTCCCATTTTGCACTTCCAAACCTATTCAAACCTTGGGTGGGTTCCCAGCTGGTCGCGCGTTTTGCCCAGGTGGATGGAGAGTAGCATGACAAGGGCGTGGTCTGCAATAGAAGATGCCGAGAACGTCCTGCAAGCTCAGTGTCCAGCCTAGTGGGAAACTGAAGCGTAACTTCGTTTTTCGTTATCTCACTTCATGAGATACATGAGTGACAGAAAACCCAAGCAAATTAAGGGGTGTGGAACGGTTTGAAGGTCGCAATTCACACGACCACAGCGGCCGTCAGACTCTCTTTTGCATGGTGGTCTTCGCTTGACGCCGCGCCAAGCTTTGTGCGGGCCTAGGACAGTTGTTCGGCTATTCCAGAACCTCATCGCGCCGTTCGGCGAGGGCCACGAATACACATGGTGCGATGGACTGTTGAAGACCTCAAACTCGTGTGAAGAATGGTGGGAATGACCGTGCGTGGTTTGTTTTGGCTTGACAGAACTCTGACATACCATAGGGCCATTGAAACAGAACCGCAGAACCGCTCGGTTTGTCTCCCTTCAATTCTTGATTCGTGACACCCGACCTTGGGCCCTGCACCCGCGCAGTCGCTCGCTGCACCTTGTGCCAGTATTCCGAGCATGCTCGTGGAGCAGATTGGGAGACCGCCCAGGAATTGGAAGTTTTTGAAGACGTCCCGGGGCCGAGCAGCGGGGAGCGACGCGAAAGGGAGCTGCCGAGAGACGGTGAAAGGGAGATGAATCGACCTGACTCCTTGAGACACCCTGAACCTTCATGAGGAGGACAAATGTGGTTGGCGGCCATCCGCGTTGCCTGGTTGCTGAGGGCGGTTAACAAGATGTTTGAAGACTGGAGGAAGGCCTTTGACTTGGAGTTCTGATGTTCCTTTTTCTCTTTCTGTCAGTTCAACTCCATCAATCTTACTAGACTTTCAGAGTTCAGCTCTCTGCTCCCTGACGGAACTGAACATTTTATCTCTCTTCTAGCTGGTAGGTGCAAGATGCCTCCCAGCCAGCCAAACGAAGGAGAAAAGGCTCGGGCACTGTCACTCACGTCGACCGTCATCGGCAAAGGGCAAGAAGAGAGCGCTTCTGCTTTTGACCGCACCCCAACACCCCTTTACTGGAAGAACTAGATGGTGTTTGAGGTGCCAAGTTCCATGAAGTTTGCTGATGTTGGGACCCTCTCTCACAATCAGCTTGCAGGAGGTGGTGTACCTGAACCAGCAGAACCAGTGGAACCAAGAAGTCCTCCTGCTCAAGAAGAAGAGGAGGCAAGGAAGTCTTCACACGATCCATATTTTTCAGTTCTTTCAGCTCTTTCCAAAGCAAGGGGGATTTGCGGCCGATGTGTTTGTCTACAGGTCGATGTTCCAGAGGAGGAGGAGGCTCTGATGTATTCTGGGTACAAGAAACTGATGCGTTCTGTGGTGCATCAGTGTAGATCGTCCATCGGTCACTGCTCTTCAACGGTTCTCACCTCACCTCTGCCAGGAGATGAATCCTCCTGAAGAGGAGGCATCCAAACTTCCAGGGTCGGGAGGTGTAGAAAGAGAGTCAGTGGAAAGTCTGGGTTAGCAGAGCAAGATTGCTATCGGTTTCTATTGATAGTTTCGTAGAGCTTTCATCCAGTGTGGAACCGACCAAGACACTCGATGCCTCCCCTCGCTCCATAATACCCTGAGTCAAGGAGCTTGGTGAACACGCCGGTGGCTCAGTTCTTTTTGGTTTGCCGGCATTGGGATATTCGTCCCTGTCTGGCGCGGCCATCTTTTATTTTTTCTGTCCTGGCTGACCCTCGCACGAGGAGGGTGATATTCTCACCGTCCGAGGTCAATGGAGTGAACGGCTCAGCCAAAGATGAGGCCTGCCCGACAACCTTAGACAGAGCAAACAAATTTATAATACAGTTAATCTATACATGTCTGTTGGGGAGATGTTTCCATGGCCAAAAGCAGAATATGAGGAGCCACAGTGATTATTCAACTGTCCAATTATTTGCAATCCATTTTGCCAAGGTGATGTTTGGCAAGGTCATTTTCTAGAGAACACAACGCACGTTCCAGCACCGCTTCCAAGCATGCTTTTGCCAGACCTATATAAGCCTCAGCATTTTGCACGAGGGCACAAGGGTTTTACATGGAGCCCCTGTTGCTGGTCTCTTTTTACACTACTAAATTGCAACCCCAATCAAAAAGATCCGAACTAACATTAACACCTTTTCAACCCTTTTAAGCCATGCTCAATGCTTGCAAACTGGAACAAAACTCCGGGATGTGGAGATGGTCCGCAGCCTGGAGGTTCTTGAAGATGAGGAAGAAGAGGCGGAACTGAAGGACTTCGTCCAAAGATCAAGCTCTCCAGTGACGAACTTCCACTTTTTGTGGTTTGAATGTGTTTCGGTCTCCAAACCCTGTGTTTATAAGCTTCGAGTCTGTTTTCAAGCGATTCAAGAATTGCCGGATTAAAGGCACAAGCGGATTTGTGGACCATGGATCAGTTCAACTTTTGTGTTGCTTAAACTGCCATGTCTGCCAGGATTTGGAGATGAACGATGACGAACCCAACGGAGGACGAGCGGCAAAAGAGCGGGGAAATTCCCGCAATTCTTTAAGCAGTGCATTGACCCATTGGCGGATCTCCATCTCCAGGAGACGAGGCACAAGTGGAAGACAACGGTCATCCTGTTTGGCACTTGGCTCGCGGGTGTTTTACGACCGTGCATCCTTGCCTTCAGCCTTTCCTCCCCTTTTCAGCCATGATCGAGGTTTTCAGAGGACCATGTTGCAGGTTAAAGTTCAAAACATGGTCCTGCAACATTCATCTTCAAACGTGTTAAACATTGTACTTCGGTACACATCCTAAACATTCCAATGTACCGAGGAGTGCACCTCAGCAAACGACTGCTTGGGAACTCCTGCGGACGGTTTAGCTGGAGCCTTTTAGCTTGTGTTTCGCATGGCGCAGACAGCTGGCAAAAGCCATGCGTAAAGGCATCGCACCAGGGCGTCTCTGCACAACAATGCATTTCAGAGAGGGGTCAGGATTTGAAAGACATATACTTCCAATCTCTTCTTGTTCGTTGGATTTGATTCATCATGTTCATGGCTGAGACTGAAGTTCTTCCAAGGTCAGACACATGATCGAGGGAGAGGATGGGGACGTCTACTGTGAGGCTTGGACAGATTGTGACAGGAACACACAAATAACTATTTGCATGATTTTGATTCCAGGCCTGTTGGCACTCCTTCCTGTTCCACAACCCTGACCTGGAGGGGCAATGGGAGGCACGCTCCCAGTGTTGCAATTCTTCAGCTTTCCGCGATCGAACATGCCGCTAACATGCCCCCGGCGTTGCAGGATGGCGATATGGCGGGTACCGCATACACGGCACCTGATGCACCTGATGCACCTGATGCACCTGATGAACCAGGAAGCAGCGGGCTTGCTTGGAATGGTGCAGATTGAAACACGAAGAGTGTTCGCTTGCATAAGATCAATGGAACATTTGGAAGAGAAGGGGAACTTCCAAGATAGTGGATTTTTCTGAGAACTTATCCAGGCAAGGGCCTGCCTGCCAATATGTTTTGACTCAATTAGACATTTTTTTGGCAGAAAGTCAAGGTCTATGTGGGTGTTTCTGTTCCATGCTTCAGGGGAGGCCCATAGAAAATAGGTGGGTGCGGCCCACAAGCAATTCTTGGCGAAGGGCCATATAACGGCAAAGAGTTGCGAACGCGCCTGGTCTCAGAGCTGGAATATTGCCCTCAAAATGGTGCGAAGAAGACACCTCGCATGGTTTGCTGAGCATTCCGTGAGCATTCAGACTCGTTTGGAGGTTTTGTGCAAACATGCCATCATGAATTTTGCAACCAAGGCATCTTGCTCAAGATGACGGAATAGGCTAAGATAGGTGAGATTCCTTGCAAGAGCAGAATCTACCGCCCAAAAATGATGACATTGACATTGAACCCGTTTGTAAAACATTCAAACTTTACATTGATATTCTTGGCCAACTAGCCAGGTTGCTTTTGTTTTCCACTTATAATTATAATACGATTCTGAAGCGTGTCTCTTCCTTTGAGAAGCTTACTTGCGACTGTCTGTAGACTGTTCAACTTTGATGGGCCAGGCGTCGTTTCTCAAGTTTTGAAGGCGACTGATGCCTTACTGTGATGTGTTGATGTGTTGATGAGGGGCACAGATGCAATATTGTGGTGGTGAGAGCTCTTGATAAACGGGTTCTCCCGGGTGGTTCATGTTGGATGTGAATTGCTTGCTTAAGCTGAGAACTACCAGCCTTCGCACGCAAGATTGACAGTCTCTGGTTCAGGCCCATGCGTGCGATGGATAGGTCGACAATGGAGGCGCCGGTTGGGATAAATCTTGTACAGGACAAAAAGCAGGTTCTTGCAGAGGTGAATCGCGTTCGTGAGCACTGTCCGAAGTCCGAAGTCCGAAGTGAGTCTTTCAAGCCAAACATGGGCAAGGAGTTTGCAGATCTGCATGTTGGTTTCCCAATATCTGACAATCAACGTGCTCCTTCAGCATGCTGCCCTTTTGGTTGGACACGTTTTTTTTGGTTTGACTGTGCTGTCCAATTCCACAATCACCGTTAGCATCATGATGACCTCGTCTGATGTGGTTCAGTTAGTCTGATGTGGCTTGTCACCTTTACACTTCTCGCTTGCAAGATCTGAAGAATACATGACAGGAGTATGTCAGCTTTGCAAAGCAGACAATGAGTTTCAAGTCAGAACTGAGCATGTCAATGTTTTGAACCTTGACATCAGTACAGTGGGTATAGTGGAACTGCGTGCAATTGAGGGATTGTTAGACGGAATGCGCTACAGGGGCTGCGACAGCTGCATGTGGAGTTTGAGGATTTTCAGGACAGAAGGAAGAAAGAAAGAAAGAAAACAAGGAGACATGTTCAAAGGAGATGTGAACATTTCTCTTTCATTGGAGATTTGGATTCTTGAGTCCTCGAGCTAGGTCATAGGGATGCGAGAGAAGATGTCTTGACTGAGAACGTAGCGATGTTTGCTTCAAAATGAGATGTCCGTGGTTTTGCACATGTTTTGCACCATGACACCATGAACTTCGGAGTACACCATGTCCACCATGGAGTCATGAAGATGGACAGATGATGGGAAGAGTGGCCGGCTTGGCTTTGTTGTCATGAAACCCCCCCTTCTTTATTGTGCTCAGGATCTGGCTGAGGGGCAGATCGTGCGGCAAAAGGCCTGTGTCACTGGTTGGGTCAACTACCCATCAACATAGACGCAGGGGCCGCCTGGATCTCGGGGGAAGCCGAACGAAACCTCGCCCAAGCTCCACTTCAGCCGTGTTTGATACTTCGGATTCCGGACATCCTCCGGTGGACACCGGTCCACACACCGGTGCCATCGCGGTGTGGACTGCTACCCATGGCGGCCAGGCCGGCGCCGTGGAGCATCTCCAGATCACGGGGCTGCCGCGCCTGGGTGACACCCACGCCTCGGTGAGCCAGGGGCAAATCCACCTGGCCCCCGTGGAGACCTCGGTGGCGAGTCTCTGGGGACGGTGAAAAGGCATGGAGGTGGAGATTTGTGCCATTTCTTCGGTAAGAGCGAAGAGCCAGCCACTTTAGTAACTTTAGTATCGGTCTTTACCGAAATTGAGAGTTTTGATCATCACATCCCCTGTGACAACTTCTCCCTACCAGATGCTCCTTTGTGTTCTCAGCCAAAAGCTGAGGCGTTGGGCCAGCGACTGCATGAAGCGGTCCAGGAGCTAAGAAGTCTTTTGCCTTTCCGATGGTTGGTTTTGGGCTGTGTCGTCATTCCGATCGGCGTTCTGGTGCATTGTTTCAAGCTTCCTAAGCAATGGATCCCAAATGGCCTGCCCTTTTGAGGCTGGTATTTTCCTGGTGCCGGGTGGCATCGCGACAGAAGCCTACCGATGCTGCCAAATCCTCGAACAGGTGCTCTGCAAGGCTTGAGAGACCCATGGGCCTTGCGTCAACTGACCTGGCTCTAGGTGTGTCCAACTAGGGGACTCTGGACATGTCCCCAAATAGTAAAGCGGACCTATAAGGGGTTCGTACTTCTCTTGGAACCAAGCCTGGAGCTTGGAACCTTTTTACGCCTGGAACCCTTACCTGCCTGCGATCCTCCACGAGGGTAGCGAACGGGCCGGCTGCGCGACCAAGCCAGGCGGCCACATCAGCCAAGCAGGGGAAGTTGGTGATGTGATGTGATTTGTAGTGTGGTGTGGCACGTATTGAAGTTTTTTTGGGTTCCGGATAGAGCGGCAAAGGAAGAACCGGGGTCCTGCGTCCTGCAGCTTTGGAGCACCATCTGTCCACCCGCGGTAGCGAGGGAGGCACGTTGAGGAGCACTTTCGCGGGAGTCGGACCTTTTTCTCTTCTGTCATTGGGTGTAGCAGTTGCAGTCGGTTGAGCCTGCGCCGGTCCGGATCCCGCCTGCCATTGTCCAGCCTTGCCGAAAGGATTCCGCCTCCCCGTGCTCGTTCTGCTGCTGACAGGTTAAGACCTGTTTACATCCCCCTTTCTTCTGAAAGTTCAGCAATAGGCCGGGGCGCCCCATGTCGAACATCGCTGACTACCATAGTTTGCGACCCCGCGATCCTCGTTCCCAGAGCGTATGGCTCGTTCGCCCCCGCGCTCGTTCGCGGCCCTGCGGCGCGAAGCCTTGGAGCCGTTTTGGGTTCCGTCCAGGGGGGGGGTTGCTTCCCGATCCCACGTGGCAGTCAGATCCCGTTCGGTTTGATCGGTGATGGGCGACCGACTGGTGTGGATGACTCGTCTTCGAGCACGCGACCGACGGCGTGTCCGAAGTGGTGGTAAGATGTTGTAATTCGATTCTCGTCCGCCTCCACTGTTGGCCATCAAACCATTCGCCTGACTTCCATGATTGCAAGCACTTCGTTGCCTTAATTTGGTTTCCACTTGCCAAACTGATTCTGTTTGACTCAGAAGGATAAAGAAGACTTGGTCGGACGGAACAACCTCCAAGCTTGCCATGCCAGGTGCTCCTGGCCTGTGGTTCCTCAGCCCACGAGCTTGTGAGGTGAGGGAAGTCCAAAAGCGAGCGTGGCCGCCATGATCAGTTTTGGTCGACTGAGCCAAGGTGTCGACTGATCTCAAATCGTACCTTTCGGGAGGACTCTCACAGTCGTGCCGTCGGACACCTTCTTTGCTCGTGCCATCATTTTTTGTGCATGGAAGAGAACGCGAAATCACAAGGGTATGCTGGAAACTCCTGCTTCGTGTTGGGCTCCACCAGCAGCAACAAACATGTTTATTTTTTTGCAAATGTTTTTTTTTTCTTCTCTCTCTCTCTCTCGATATCTCTTTTGATTTTCGGCAATTTTTGCCGCTTCGTCTCGTCTCAGTTCTAGCTAAGAACAAAAAAAGGGTCCAATCCAATCTACTTACAGCAAGTCGTCCCTCGTTGGCGAGCATACATCAGCCCAAGACCACCACAGATGGACCTGCCACAGCCAGGCTCACTTGCTATGTTTCCAACCTCAACAGTCGCAGTTCAGATGCAGGGGGCTCAGTGAGAGCCATCAAGCCGAGAGCGAGACATTATTCTGCAATAACATCACGCACTGTGGAAATTCCATCACAGAAGAAGAAGAAGAAGAAGAAGAAGCACTAGCTAGTCAGCCAGATCCAAAGCGATGCCAGGCTGTAGGCTGGTGACACTAGGTGACACTCCTCGGTTCTTGATCAATCCATCTTGAGGCCCAAAACGGACTCGCAAAAGCACCGAGTTCGGCTCAACTCGCCAAAAACCAAAACGGCTCGTGTGGAGCCGTGAGCTCCTCGTCGGAGAACCCGTGTGAGCTCCCGGTGCCATGGCAGCACGGGAGCTCCGCTCCCTGACAGAAGTCGAAGAAGCGGAGCGAGCGGAGCGTGGCGTGTCCTCCTACGTGGTGGCCCCCCGGGTGCCAGAGGCGCTCTATGGGAAGCTGAAGGCCAGGGGTTTGGCGTGTTTTGGTTTGGCACCGCTTGGGGTTCGGAAAGACGGATGCAGAATGGATACAAACCAGCCGTTTTCACTTTGGAACATGAGGATGATAAGCATATCCAAGAGAACATGGGGACGACGTGTTTCTTCGCATTTGGACACCGTGGATGGACCATGCTTCCCTGTTGGAGGAGCGCGTCGCAACGGTGGCCGTGGCCACGGCCATTTTCATCGTTGCCTCTGCCGGGATTCAGGGCTTGTGCTTCATACTTAATGAGCAACATCTGGAAAAGAACCTGAGAGCGCTAGCCCAAGTGCAGGCTGTCCCAGAAATCACTTGGCTCATTGGTGCTTTGCCACAACTGGTCTTTTTCCCTGCTATTGCTCTTCTGCTTGCTTCCATTCTCACGGGATCTCTTTTTGCAACTTGCGGACTCATGGGAACGAAGGCGCAGTCCGAGTGCTGTGCATGTTGCTACTGTTGCTGTAGCGCAGCTTATTGCATCTTCTTGATCCCAGCCATCGTTGGTGCTCTTTTTTTCCTCCAAAGCGTGTCTTCCGCGAGCGAGACTGCAGAGCTGTGGTTTGGTCGCTGTGACCCGAAGCTATGCTACCCGCTGGGCTTTGATACGCCGGTCAAGAGGCAGATTGATTGCTTGGCCCCTGCGGTTTGGGATGAATACCGTCCACAATTCTCAGGGAATCATCTCCCTCAGGAATGCCCTCCCATGTATTTGCAGTGCGAGGAGAATGAGGACACCGAGGACACCAAGGAAGCCGAAGTTGTCCAAGCTCGACGTTTGCTGGTAGAACCCGAGGAGGGGGGAGGACACAGCTGTGTCTGCTGCGCCTGTGGCGGCCGAGACTGTTGCACCTGATCAGGATGAGGTCGAGGAGGCAGAGCCGAGAGACACAAGGGACGAGAAAGGAGCTGAAGACGAGGCTGATGATGGTGACGCAGACGAGGAGCCAGAAGGTGCCTCCGAAGAGGAAGAAGTTGCCGATGCAAGGGACTCTTCTAGGGGCCAGGAAGGGAAGAACGATGATGACGACGATGCTGCTGATGTAGAGCGAGATGCTGGTGCTGACAAAGAAGAAAGCAAAGAGGACGATCAGGAGGATGATGAGGCTGATGCAGCTGAAGCAAAACAAAGAAACGATGATCTGGATGATGACCAGCATGTTTCTGGAACAGAAGAGGAGACGGACCAGGATGCTGACGCTTCTCCTGAAACCGTAGAAGCTGCAAGCAGTGCTGCAAGCAGTGCCAGAAGCCAAGCGGAAGACTCCGAGGAGGACGAGGAGGATTCCGAGAAGGAGGCCCAAGAGGCCTCTTCAGATGAAAAAGAGGGATCTGGTGAAGAGGATGTTGAGGACCCTGATGAAGATGATGCTGGAGAGGAAGCTGAGGACGCTAAGAAAGCAGAGGAAGAAGAGGAGGAGGATGAAAAAGACTCTTCAGAAAGTCCAGAGGAAGACGATCCTCAAAGTAGTGCAGATGAGGTGGAAGAGGAAGAGGAAGAGGACAGGTAGACCGACGGAAGTGCAAGTGTTGGATTGCAGTAATTTAGTTAAGCATGGTGATGGGTTATTGCTGGTGGTTGAAACTGACGCAACTTTGTTGGTGGAGAACGTTCACCTTCCCTTGAAACTTAGCACCCCGATCGTTTCGGCGGTATCCCAGGTATGTTTGTTGAGCTTATGAACGTAAGCTTTCGGTTCTCTTCAGACGGAGATATCGTCGGAACCCGTTCAAGGACCCGCAGGAAGAGGTGCTGGACTTCTCTGAGAGTGATCAGGACTCCCTTGGCTTTCTTCTGGGTTCGGTGGTGCTTTTCGTTGGATGTCAGGTTTGCCCATCCGAGTCATCCGAGAACCCAGATTTCTTGGGCAGAACCAACCTTGGCTGTCCTTTTCTGATCCATAGGCAATTTGACCAGATGAGATACACAGCACTTGTATATACTTCTGAGAAAGGTTGTTTTCACTTGAAAGAACAGCTGTGCTAGTGTGCTAGAGGAACTGCAGGGTGCCCAGCTGTGTTCGGTACCGAGGGATTCTTGTGATCCATTTCCATGTTGACCTGCATCCACCACCTGCCGAAGCGGGAAAACTTGAGGATGACCCCAAGAGTTCGAGGTAGAGGGTCACTGCATGACACATCATAGAAGAAGAACATTCTTTTTTCTTCTCTTTGATGCAGGAATGCTTGTGAATGACCTGTGCTTTTCTGTCGTTTCGTTTCATCCATTTCCAAGACGCTTGTGTCTCCCCGTCGTGTCTCCATCCCGCCAGGGCAGTGCGCTGAAAGCTTTGGGCCAGGCGAGTGAAAGCCTGGGGAAGGTGCTCACTCTCCCGATGCCCGAGGATCCGCTCACGGAATGTAAGCCCTCGAGGCGCGGTTCAAGTCGTCGTCTGAGACGTGCGTGCGAGCGATAGCGCGAGTCTACCAGTCTAAGTCTTTTCTAATTCTAAGGTTTCGATAGTGGCTCAATGATCACAGCAGGTACTTTTGTGTCTCTTTTGATGGCTGGAAAACTGACACATTCATGCACCTGGCTCGAACTGACACATACACTGAATTCATGCAAATTCGGAGAGTTTTGGCCTCATGAGGATTGTGGCTCTTTACAAGGTGGCACAACGAGAAGCTCCCGATGTCTTTCAGGCCTTATGGATTCAAACGGCAGTTCGCCTCCTTTGCATGGTTCCCACCATGGTCCTCATGGCCTTTGGCTTTTGGTGGGGCCATGAATATTGGTCCAAGCTCACCAAGGGCAACTCCCAAACGTATTTGCTGGCCAACGTTCCCCTTGGACAAGGCGAGCCACGAGACGTCGGATCCTCAATTTGATCGGAAAGTAACAGCCACGAGACGTGTTTGGTTGGAATGTCGCTCCGAGTTCCTTGACGTTTGTAAATTGCTTGACCAGGTCTCCTAGTTGCTAGGCTAGGTTGACTATCGTTCTTCTGAGGTCCAGATGACGCATATGTCGCAGCCACTCATGGTACAAGCATGAAGCAGAAAGAAGACACATCACGGGCCAGAAGAATCCGATGACGTCCTCGTCATCTTGAAGTCGGTGAACCTGAAGATCAGAGTAGCCACACGCCACTCGTGAGCGGCAAATGGCCGCGCGGTGCACGAGCTGCCTGGAATCCAGCCAGATGAAACCTGCAGAAAACACGATCGTCATTTGAAGAAGGGGAGCATAGGGGAGCTACGCCCGTCATGGAAGAGTTGTCTAATGACCTTGAATGAATGATTGATCGCCAGAACCTGTCACCGAAGTCGTGAGAGGTGCTTTGTGAAGTGATCGACCTCTTCTGCCACGAGCGGTCTTGTCACAGCATCACCAGGAGCGATCGCGATGCGAAGCGTCGCGAGGGGTTCGGTCGTGTCGGGTCCGTTGGGAAGCGTCGAGCCAGGACCATCATCGGCTGTGACCGCTTGCAAGCAGACGCAGCAGGGGTCCTAGAGGGTCCGACAGGTCTCCATGAGACCGGAGACCGGTCGGTATGACCGAGAAAACGGCCTCTCCTGTTTTTTTTTGTTTGATGTTTTTGGAATCTTTGAACAACTGGTTTCCAACAAATCCCACGTCCTTTCCATGTTGGAGCAAGCCCACAGGAAGGCAACCGAAATTCCGTTGCCCGTCACGGAGGCAGTGCAAATGGAAGGCCTAGCAGCAGTAGATCACAGCAGGAGCTCCGGCACTGACAGCTCATGTGTGATGGTTTTGGATGGTATGGGTGGTTTGGTCTCGAAGTGGAGATTGGATTCAACAGTGGGTGAAGACAGCAAAGTTACTCACTTTTCCCGAGCAGCCAGGGCTGATGCGGGGGATGACAAATGCTTTTACCAGTTGCAGGTCCGGCTCGTAAGCCACAGTTCTGTATCTGAAAATATCCCATAATTTCAAATTCTACCCTCCACTGGCTCCATGCCCAGCAGGAGCCTTTGCCGAACACCTCCACGTCCTGTCGTGGCACTTAGTCAAGAAAGCCGTGGGTATTGGTTGAGGAATTGTGGCCACCAGACGAGGTGGAGATCATGGGAAAAGCGGGACAGCAAATCAGAGTCAATGCCCCTGAAACACAGCCTGAAAGCAGGTTCAAGTTCAAAGTTCGCATAAGACACCGAACAAAAGGACAGTAGCAAATAGCAAAGATTCTTGCAAACACATACCTGGCAGCCTCCCGATTCTTTGCCCTGTCATTTTCGTCACTGTCAGTTGTGTCAGGAAGAGCTCCTGGTAGGCAGCTATGTAGGGTCTCCCTGCAGTAGCTCTTGAAGGTATTGCTGCTTCCTCGCATGTCTTTGCTTTTGGCCCGTTGCTTGGCCAGATCTCCCTTTAGTGTGTCGCTTTGCACTTCTTCCCAGTGCGTTGTCCCATAGAACGTTTTCCTCCGTCTGTGGGGACTCGATCTCCAACATTTCCACTCTCCACTCAGTTACCAAAGGTGCAGAACACTGGTTCTTCCCTAGTAAGGTTCTGCCTCCACTCCACAGCATAGGCTCTAGAAATTGTCATGGAATCCGCATAGAGAACATCTGACATTTGGTTTTAGCTCCAGACAGGGCACATGCTTGACAACCCACTTTGGGCCCTTTGCATTTTTCAGAAACCTGTGCAGCTGCCGCTCTCGCCAATGCTTTTCGCACCATGTCTTGCAGATTGTGGATAGGGGATGGGGGCAGTGCATACTTTCCATGCATCTCACCAGAAGGGCAGGTTTTGTGAGACTGGCAGACCAACTCTCACGCATGGCAGGACCAAGTCTCAAGCTTGCTCAAGGTTCTTTCCTTTCTTCGGCTTAATGAAACAGATCAGAGACCCGTTCTGACATATGAGTCACTTATGAGACCAATCAGTTTTCGATCCGTTCAGCTCGTGGAGAGCTTCCTTTTCGCGAGCAGAAAAGCTCTGAGGTCGGCCGCGTGTCGGGGCCTCAGCGGGCGAGGTCGTAGGTGATAATTTTTGGATGCTGAATTGGGTCATAGATGTTTCTGGCACTGGCTGGCTTTTTGGACGACATGTTTTTGTGCAACAAATTGTGATGCTTGGATCAAGTTGTCAAGTTGATGAGTGTTGAGATTTGAGACGATGTAATTGTGACAGACCCAAGTAGCCACCCACATTGACATGAGTTGTGGGAACCAACAAAAACACGTTGGGTTTTGGATGCATCCCTATGCCATATGTCATATATCAAGTATCTTTAGGAAAACACACATGACACATGTCATCGCCCCCGCCGATCATCCGGTGCGCTGGTGCCCCGCCACCGTGCAGTGACCTCCAGTCCGCCGAGAAGAGCCTGAAGACCTCGCATCGGCCGATGGCGCGGGCGGCGGAGCGGTGTTTCAGCCGATCGGATCCTGGTTCACCATTGTGTTGTGCAGTTCACCGGTGGCTGGGTGGGTTTGCTAGTTCTTTATCCTCATAAAACGGGGGGATGACCTGGAAGGAAGGTGAGACTGGGTGTGAAGGTCGGAGCCACTTGGATGGTTTACCTTTTTGCGCACTCAAAGGAACGCACCTACCACTGACTGGTGCCGAGTGAGGAATGAGGGAATGGATCGAAAGGAATCTCTATTGAGAGTTCATTCCCTCATTCCCTGCTTTCATAGCACCAAGTCTGGGCAGCGTGACAGCTAGGGGTACTTCTTTCGAGCTGGGGCCAAGCAATGTGAGGGAGCCAAGAAAGCTTATTGATGAGGTCATTAGGCAGGGTTGTGTCCCAGAACCACTTGATGGTATCCTCTACCCACTCAACGACCAGTGGACCACAAATGGACCACAAACCAGAGTCAAAATGGCCATGGTGCTGCGATTCTCCAGGAGATTGCGGCTCGACCTGGGCCGTGAAGCCTTTAACATCAAGCCCAGACTATGAGCAAATCGGCAGCGCCCAGTTCTTGGGGTCTCCAAATCGGCACCTTGACAAATCCAAACCGCAAAAAGCTTTAGTACAGCAGAAAACACCATGAACACCATCAAGGAACTTTGCGTGGCAATTTGAAGGGGGTTCATTGCTTTGAGAGATCCACAGCTGCAGCAAGAACTCTCACGAAAAGAGGCGTGGCTTGCCTTCGCTAGGATCATATAAAGGCTATTGAAGAATCTGCCAGTCCAGCTTCATCCAGCTTCAGCAGAAACACTTGGGGCTTGCGATAGCGCCTTGTGCAGTTCTTGGCATCCCTACAAGGCGAGCCACCCTGAGACAATTTCCGCCTTCCGAGCGCGCTTTTCACCGGAATCCCGTTCCCTTCCCTTTCCTCGTGCCCGCCGCTGCGTCGTGAGCTCAGCACGTCGCCGAGTTCGCCGCGGCGTCAACCCACGCGGTCGTGTGATGTGGGTGTCGCCCCGAGGCGGCGCCAGAGGGACGGATGTGCAGCGAGCCCAGCCGATGTGAAGTGCTTCAGAGCAGGTGATAATGGGGCCAACAACCATGCTGATGCCGAGGGAAGGAATTTGTGGAGATATCCCTCTCTAGACTCTAGATATACCATTTTCCGACACCATGTGAAATTGATAGGTCATGGTCATGGCATGCAGTTTTGCCACAAGGCAAACACTCTTGCTCAGGCTCGTCCCTGCCACTTCTCCCCAAGCTTGAGGCGCTTTCTGTTGTTCCACATTTTGGGATTATCTGGGCCATTCTCCTTTCGTTCTCAGTGTTCTCAGATGCTTTCCGTGTCCTGTGCCGAAAACAGGCGAGTCTTCGATGACTTCCTCAGCCAGGATCCCAGAATCTGCAGAGTCCTGTCTTGAGAGAATCTGCCGACCTGGCGCGGCCACCCGCAGCGGGCGGGACGAGTCGGGGCATCCCACCCGGTGCAGGGGACGAACCTTCCGGACTGGGGCTATGAAGAACTCAAGGCGCGGCGGGTTCTTCCAAACGATGAAAGCGGCGCTGTTGGAGTTCACATTGAACGATGAAAGATGAAGCGGCGAACAGCGAGGTCCAGTTCGGCTCGTGTTTCTTCTTTGAGACGTCTTTTCCGAAGCGAAACACATCACATCACGCGCGGAGAACGCACATCGATTCCCAAACAGAGGACTTTTTTTGCTTTGGGATGTTTCTGAAGCGATGAGGTCATCGGTCGTGGGCAGTATGGAAAGGCTGGACAAGGGTTCAGAAAGTCAGTTCGGCCAAAGACCCAGTAAAGCCAACTGAGTTTGATGCTTGTTTGGCATTTCTTCTTTGTTCTTCTCTATTTGTGCAGGCTCACTTGGTTCGTGCTGAGATTGATGATCAATACTATATTGCTGCTTGGTTGTGCTGGAGGTGCATGGTGTTTCACGTAAGCCCTGGGTAGCCAAGATTCTTTGCAACAAGTGAACCAATGAGGCAAAGACCATCGACCTTACGTGTTTGTCAAGCAAGGACGGGCTGTCCAGTGTCCGGCATGTCGTTGTAGGGAGCTTCTCCCTTGTTGTGTCCAGCTGCGTCCTTGTTGTGTTTACTAGTCTTGTTGTTGGGAGGATCACTACTGTAGGTCTTCGAACCTCGCAAACCTACCCAACACGACCTCGCAGACCTGCCAGGAGCAAGAGACCGCTTACCAAGAGGTTGCCCTGCTAAGACGTGTGGAACACAGCGACCGGTGCGACAAAACCACACAACCCTGGCTCGTTTGTTTGCCATGAACCACCCTGGACAAGGAGATATCTTCAGAATCAGGGGGAACTTGCTGAGGTTTGGATCATCCCAATATCGTCTCTTACCGGGATAACTTCTTCATGGGCGTCAGCCAGACATGTTTTGCTGCAAAGCGAACCCATATGCAACTGAGCTTGACAATCTCATTCCAGGACACGCTCGTGATCATCATGCAATATTGTGAGGGTGGTGATTTGGCAACGTACATCAAGGACAGAGACATTTGCCAGGTACATTTGGCCTGGCTTTCCCAAATTTACATTTTGTGAAGTCCATGGCTTTCAGGACATGCGGAAGCAGCGTCAGCGGATTGATGAGCAGCAAATCATGCACTACTTTGTGCAGATCCTTCAGGCATCGGATCCCTTAAGGGACCTTTGGACCAACGCAATGGTTCTAATATATATATATATATAATTGGTGGATCATACGGAAGATCCAGTTCATAATGAGAGAATATCGAATCATTAACACATGATATAATGCCTTCCTGTTGGAATGGCACATGTTGACAGGTTTGCCGCAACACGCCCCTGTCAATGAGAGTACAGGCACTTCAGTACATCCACGGCGAGCGGATCCTGCACAGAGATCTCAAGACATCCAACCTCTTTCTGATGAAGAGCAAGTTTGCCACTTGTTTCACTACACCTGAGGGGTAACAGGGATGGACTTTGGGAATGCTCGTTGCGAAGGATAAGGATCTGGAAGACTGGAAGGATCATGTCGGGCCTCCATGGTGTTGATGTTGATGTCGGCTTTGCGTGTGCGAAAAGCTCCTAGTAGCGTCTTTGCTTCTAGTAGTAAGGCCAGGAGCCCCTAGTAGCGTCCTTGTTCCTAGTAGCGATGCCCTTTGCTCCGTTCGTAGCGTCCTGTGTGTGAGAGACCGCGGTGAATCTTATATACTTGTGCAAGAGACGGGTCCGGCGCTCGTTCCTTTTCCGTTCATAGTAACACGTGGCCGTTGGACGGTGTTCAGCGGTCCGGGTGAGGGGTCCAGACAGGTCACAAAGACTTCTAAATGGGTTGAGTTCTATGGTTAATGTCTCATGGTCAGCTGTTGAGCCAAACATGCCATTAAACTAAACATAAGCTGTTCAAAAGAACCATGGGCAAACGCTTGAGATTGGTGTACGTGTGGACTGAATGTCGCATGCCCTGAAGAAACCTTTGGTAAAAGAGGAAACCAAAGTAGTGCAGCAGGGTCCAACTACCTCATAGTCACAGTCATATTCCAAGAGGTTCACAATCGAAAGTTCAAGAGCTCCAAGTTTCACAAAAAACATAAATTGCTGCATCACGACGTAGCTATCAAAAGTCCCAAATTCAAGCAGGCACATCTGCAATATTATTAGCCACATGGGTACACACACACACACCCCACCCCTGCGCCGCACCTTCACCAAGTTTCTTTTTTTGCCATATGCCACAGCCTTCCGAGGTCGTCAAGCTGGGGGACTTCGGCATTTCACGGGTGCTGGAGGGTTCCATTGAGGCGGTTGGGTTGGGGACGCTAGGGGAATTGGAGTTCTTCCGATTGTGAGGGCCTCTGAGATCAAAACAGATCAACACCGCTCTTTTCTTGCTTTTATTGTAAGTTTTTTCCTTTTCATGCCTGCCGTTGGCTTTTTCGTGGTGTGAGTTGGTTCGCACCCGCGCACGCATTTTTTTGGCGCGCAGGCTGCGATCACTGTGGTTGGCACTCCGTGACCGGAAGCGTTGAAACGAAGGATGTCCTTGTTCCTAAGACCATTGATCTTATCAAATCTCATATCATCATTTCATATTCTTTCTCCAACATCAAACGATACTGTATCAAAGTGGACATTCAATAGTTGTTTCTTTGATGCACTTCAAACCTTTCTGTGCATTCTAAAGTCCCATGAAATGGTGGTTAGAATCTATGTCCAAGACCAAATTATTAGGTCGAACCTGAAGCTGGCATTCGACGGAAAACAAGCGGTGCCAGGTACTAGAATTTGAGTTCCACAGCTCTTGCGGGTTTATCTTATAGTTGGTTGATGTGCATCTGGCCACACACTGCGGAGTTGCTTTTGCAAGCGAGGTACTACATGTCGCCAGAGGTTTGTGAGAACAAGCCCTACACTTTCAAAAGTGATGTCTGGGGCTTGGACCCCGTCGAAGGGTTGCTGCAGGCAATGGTCGGTATGACCATGCCATTCGCTTCGCACGAATATTAGAAGAGTCGTTTCGCTTCGTGGTTGAAGCGATGTCCAGTTCGGAGATCGCACCCTTGAGGTTTGGTCCCTGGGGTGCTGCCTGTATGAGATGTGCATGCTAAAGCATGCCTTCTCTGCAGACAATTTGCTGGGGTGCTTGCCACAGAGTGGAAAGTGCTACAAAGTCAGAATGAGCAGAAGCAGGAAGAGCAACTTGTACTATGCCATTATGCATAAGCAGTGGCTCCAACGATACTTTTACATTCCTTTTGCCGCCAGGCTTGTGTACAAGATCGTCAGTGACAAGTACGAGCCGGCAACCTGATATATTGCCTTGCGACAGAATAGGGCACATTCCACAGACCATGAATGTATCAGAACAGTAGATAGATGCCCACGCTGTCAACTGTGCCACTATCGCGACTTACACAAGATCGTTGGAATATGAACATCCAGTTGTTAGGGGTCATATCGTTTTGAGATGTGACGAAGGAACTTTTACCGATCACTTCTTCCCATGACCTCGAGCCATCACACCATAGGTACAACATGTGCACATGATGCGCTGCTTCTGAGGCCGATCCCAGAGCTATACACAGCCCAGCTAGATACCCTGATCCAGCCAGATGCTTTGAAAGGAGGTGGTCGTGGAAAGAACGTCCTTTCTTTTTGCTGTCTTGTCTCAGCATATTGCAGACCTAGTGCAACACTCATTCCGAGATTCAGCCACCTTAGGCGGATGCTGGAGAAGAATGCCGAAATACGCCCGAGCGTGCGAGAGCTCTTGGCAGATCCGTATGTGCAGGCCTGCCTGCTCGGAGTCGACGACCGGACCCAACGCGAAGCGGCAACAGTGGCAAGTGGGAAGATGATACACCCGTGAACACCCTGTTAATTTGGACAATATCACATTGTTTGAACCGATGAACACATACAGAAACATTCACTTACACAATCATGCAAATCCGTTGGCAGTCCTTTGTAGCGGACTACCTGCAGAGCCGCCAGCGCCTCAAAGAACGTCCACTTGATGGATCTACTCCATGAAAAAGTCTTCGAGGCCAAAGTGCGGCTCGGTCATCTCCAGGCGAACGAATTGCAACGAGTCTGTTTTTACATGTTTTTCACTCGCTTGGACTGACTGACTGCCACTGACTGCCACTTGCTGTTGCCAGGTCGGCCCTCCCCTTCTCCGCCCGCTGGCTCCCCGGTGTCGCCCGGCCCCGCCGTGTCCCCGGCCTCGCCGGGCGCGTCGCCGCCGGCGCGGAGCTTCTCACCGGGACCGCCGGCGCCGGAGAAGCGGAGCGGGTGGTCCACGGCCGGACCGAGCGGGTGGGGCGGAGCGCCCGGGCTTCCGATCGGAGAGGCACAGCCACATGTGCGGGCAGGCGGGAGTTGCATGGTGTTGTCTTTTGCATGGTGTAACAAGGGCATTACTACTAGTAACAAGAAGCTACTAGGTGGAGGCCATGTGGAGGCCATTGCTACTAGCAGCAAGAAACTACTATATAGTAACAAGGGCATCGCTATCTTTAAACAACGTGGTGGGGAGATTGGCTCGCCAGGTCACAAGCACGTGCGGCACGGTGTGCCACTCAGAGGGTGACAGTGAAACATGGCTGGTCTGATTTTGGGCTCCAGGTCGAGCTGCTGAAACGCCCAAAGAGGCAGCAGCACGGCGGAAGCGGGAGGCAGCAGACCGTGAGGTGCCGGCGTCGAACGCCCGTTGATTGGGCAGGGCGTAGGCGCCGAGGGGGCGCCTCGGTCGAATCCGAAGAGCTCCAACATGCTGTAAGCACAGATTCTCCCTCTAACAGCCAGTTCGCCCCCCAAGAGAACAAACCCTGCTAGGTAGTTGATCGTCTTTCCACGAACGTGTCGCGGCCGCGGCTCTGTGTGCGCGCCACACGTCGCTCCAGGCGGAGCGCCACAAGGCAGCGGCCAAAGAGTCGATGCACAACAAGACGGTGCGGGAGTCCGGGGGGTTGTACCGGGGCGGGAGGAGGGAGGATTTTCTTTATTTAGTTTTTTTGGGTTCCAGTGATGGTATGGGTCTTTGGAGCACTGATGGTATGGGTGGAAAGGGTGCCATTAATGAACATATGGACTTATTGGCTCTTTCGGGTAGTTCAAGAGCCATGGACAGTCATGCAAGATTGTTTGGTGTCTGATTTTTTCAGGTTCTGAACGGTCAGACACGAAAACAGACGGGGGTGAATCCCCACACAAAGCTCCTGGTCTCCAATTGTTTGTCCTGCGGCAGGTGGCCAGACAAATGCGGGAAGCCGAATTTCAGCCAGGGCCTTGCGTGAGAGAAAGAGAGAAAAAGAGCGAGTGAGAGAGAAAAAATAAAGAGAGAGAGAGAGAGAGCAATGGTAACTTGTGTGTTTTGGGCATTGAACTGTTCGGCTTCATCTCATTTTGCATGATGCTTTGACACCACCCTTCCCCCCTAAGAGTGGCCGAGGACCACCTTCGCCGGCCGCATGGGCCCAGCAACGGCCCAGCCCAAAGCCGGATGGAGCGTCGAATGGCACCTCAAGGGCTTAAGCAGATCAGTGATTGGCAAATACTGATCCTGAACATTCCTGAAGATGTATAGTTATACAGATTAGTTAGGCACAGTTGATGCACGTTGATGCCATTGTGGTTCCTGATGGCTAAGGCTTCGGGTCATTTGCCTGCAGTGGGCCTGGAACTTAGTGGCCCAGACCAACAGGAATAGTATGTGCTGGCAGCCAATCTTTCTGCAAGGAGTAAAATCGTAGAAGCTTCTCAATGTTCTTATGATTTCTTATGAGTCTTCACATGGAACACCTGTCTTCCATTACAAACGGGTCTTGGGTGTTCTTATCATTCTGATCCGAGCCAGTCCTAAAGTGGCCTCACCCAGCAAACGTGGGGAAGAAGAAGAGGTAAACCCGGACCTGACCGCAGGTGGAATCGGAACGTCCCACCTCGCCTCAAGCCCAGCACGGCCACCCAGATTGGTCAAAGGGGTCGTCGGATTGGTCAAAGGTAGAGCTTCGCAGATGGAATGCTAATAGAATGCAGGAAGTGTTCGAACAGATCGAACAGAATGCAGAAAGTGTGAAAACAACCCTGACAAACGGAACCCAACGGAACTCTTCAGGTTTGACTACCACAACAGACACCTCAGACTTTTGGTTGATTCCACCCCACACGGCCCGAACGACTCCTCTGACTCCTCTGACCCGAACGGCGCTTCGACACGCTCAGTCGCACGATGAAGATCGCGCAGAGGAGCGAAGGGACCGCACCAGTGGCGGAAGATGTTGGGCAAGTGGCGGAAGACGACCTTTGAAGAAAACCCGTATGGTCGAGTCATGGTGAAAAACGGTCGATACCAAAGTGAAGACCAAACCACGGCATGTCCCCTGAACGGGCCTGTTGGAGCCCTCCGAGCCCCAACGACGAGGACTGGGACGGCCCCGCCGAGGAGATCGATGAGAGTGACTACTCGGAAGAGTACGAGGCGAGACCGACGGTGCTTTTCGGGGGAGTACTCGCCTGTAAAGGGAAGAGACGTCGAGATGACGAGAGCAGAATGTTGGGATGTTCTATTTTGCTTCATGTAGTAACAAGAAGCTATTAGGAACAAGTGCATGGCTTCTAGTAACAAGTGCCTTACGTGCCTTACTAGTAGTAGCAAGAAGCTAGTAGAAACAAGTGCATCGCTTCTAGTAACAAGTGCCTGTATTCAAAAGCATTTGGAGGACGACTTCGAGGATGCCCAATACACAGAGGATGAAGATCAAACAGTGGGGTCGGACATCGAAGAGGCCGACGTCATCTTGGTGAATTCTCATGTCACTTTGTGCCGGATTCTTTCAGCTTCTTGTTTCTACTAGTAAGGCACTTGATACTAGAAGCGATGCACTTGTTCCTAATAGCTTCTTTCATATTAAATCATATTAGCATGCTGCAGATTAAACTGTTGTCATCTCCTCAGGTGTACATGAAGCCTGGAGCAGGCCAGCTGAGGGTCTCCTTCGGGGCGGGGTTTTCACGAAGAGAAGTCCCCGCAGGAGCCTTGTCAATGGTTCGAGAAGAGGAAGATCTCTCGCGGGTCATGAGCAACTACGAGCAGGAGCAGTTCCGGGATTCAGAATCATTCAAACATCTTGCGGATTTAGTAAGGTGTTCACTTCCGCAACACATTTGAAGCTTCCGATTCCGGCCATACGGGTCTCCGGCGCCGTCTCAGGCCGTACCGTGGCGGAGCGTCCGACACAGTTCCCAGGATTTGGCGCGGCACCACAGCTCGGCTTCTCCAGTGCCCTCTCCCACGATGCAACCGCGGGGTGGCCCAGGTGTGGACTGGAGGCACTTGTTGCTAGTAGCGTCCTTGTTACTACTAGTAAGGCACTTGTTACTAGAAGCGATGCACTTGTTACTAATAGCTTCCGTGATCATGATGAAATTGCACGAGATTGGGAAAGTGACGATGTAGGCCATTGATGTACAGATGCTTCCAAAGATGTATCAATGAACATGTTCTGGAGACGGATCTTTTTGCAAGACTTATGTCGACACCGGATTAATAACCACCGCCAGAAGTTTTCTTGTTGGGGGGGTGCAGAAAGTCAACACTTTTAATTGGGGGTGGTCGATCAGGAGGGGTCACCAAGACTAAATCCAGACTAAATCCCTTCATGAGAAAAAGGCCTCAAAGACTAAACACTGAATCTCTTCGTGAGAAGGGATCCTCAAGACTGAATGGACAATGGCAAAGGCAGGAGCCAACCATGAGTCAGCATAAGCAAAAGGATTATTTGGATTGCAATATTTGGAGTTTGGAAAGGAGTACAGTAAGTAAAACATTGGCAACAGGACCATAGAGTGAGGGATGGGTGAAATTAACAGAGGGACTGTAAAAGCAAATCCTTCAAACATCACAAACACACAGGAAAACATAGGCGCTGAAGAAGGGGAAGAAAGGCGATTAGTATTGCCCAAAAATAGACCCCAAGAGAAAGGTGGACCAAACGAATTGGGAGAGATATGTCCAAAAAGATTCAACACATGGCCTTCTAGCGGCTATCTTTCCTGAAAATTGCTTCATAAGAAGCCGGACCCGAGGCGGACCATCCGGGTGTGTGTGTGTGTGAGCCTGAAAAAGCCATCCAAGGCGCCGGACCGGGAGCCTGGACCGAAGCGTGGCTGCACCGGAGGCGCACGGTTGGGTGGGGTGTGGGAGGTGTGAGGGATGAAATTGAAAGCGATGGGACATGGTGATGATGATGGTGATGATGATGCTGATGATGATGGTGGTGGTGATGATGATGATGATCATATATAATGATTTCTGCGATGTCTACCACAGTTTGCACTAAGATGTCTTTGTTCACCTGTTTCACCATTGGACATTTGAGGAGTCAACCTGAAGCAGCAGACGCGCGTCTGTCTGAAGCCCTCCCAGTCTGAGGGAACACAGACAAGCCATTGGAACAGTCGTTTGTCACGAAAGCTAGCCTTAGCTAGCTGAAGTTGCTCTTGCTTTAGCAAGTTAAATGACGGGGTGGACGCGCCTCAGAAACCTCAAATAATTGATTAAATCAATCTTATGGACCCCCCCCCCTCCGGAGGTTCAACTCCCCCCTGCGCGCGGTGAGCGGGTGGAAACAAATTAGCTGCTGCTGTAGCTGCTGCTGCCTGGTGTGCTCGTTTGCTCCTGCTGCTGCTGCCTGGTGTGCTCGTCTGCTGCTGCTGCTGCTGCTGCGGGGTGGGCTGCTGCTGCTGCCGCTGCTGTGGCTGCTACTCGGTGCGCGGTTCATTCCCTCCGGCTATGCACTGTGGGAGCACTTGGACTCCACGTGCGCTCTAAAGCAGTTTTGTCAACCTTTGAGTGCCGATAGTCCGAGTGCACAAGAGCCAAATGACGCTACCTGACTCCATATCGGAACTAGTGGTGTACGAGGGGTAAGGCTATGATGGCTGCTGCTGCTGCTGCTGCTGCGCTGGGTGGTCTGCTGCTGCTGCTGCTGCTTCTGGCGCTGGGTGGTTTGCTGCTGCTGCTGCTGCTGCTGCGCTGGGTGGTTTGCTGCTGCGCTGGGTGGTCTGCTGCTGCTGCTGCTGTGCTGGGTGGTCTGCTGCTGCTGCTGCGCTGGGTGGTCTGCTGCTGCTGGCGCTGGGTGGTTTGCTGCTGCTGCTGGGTGGTCTGCTGCTGCTGCTGGCGCTGGGTGGTCTGCTTCTGCTGCTGCTGCTGCTGCTGCTCCTTTGTGGTTTGCTGCAGCTGCTTGGTGGTAGACTGCAGATGCTTGATGGTTTGCTGCAGCTGCTTGGTGGTTTGCTGCTGCTGCAGCTGCTTGGTGGTCCGTTGCTGCTGCTGCTTGGTGGTTTGTTGGTTGGTTGTTTGCGCAGCCACACCCTAGCATGCGCACGCCTCCCCGCCCGGCTAGCTTTCGTTCACCCCCTCTGGCCTCAAGTTTCAAGGACAACAGGTGAACTCATGGCCTGAGGAGCATTTTGAGTCCTCCTTGATGCGCCCACTCCCGCTTGCTTGCGGTGTTGATTCAGCAGGCTTTCCGCACCAAGTACCAAACGACAAGTGCTATGCTATGATATCTTCGCGTTAGCGCTATGATAGCGTTGGTTTCAGATAAGATACATTCAACCCAAAAGCCAGCTGCTCTTTAGGCTTTGGAGAGCATCAAGGTTGCTGCAATATATATATATATAATATACACATCATATATATATATATACACATCATATATGTATACACATAGAGTATGGTCATAGCTTGAAGCTTGAAGATGTCAGTAGCAGCTGTTTGATGGGTCTTGATTCACAAGCAATCTGCCAAAGGTTTTCTCTCTTTGTGTGGAACCGATGGTGACACTGTATTCTTCTCAGGCGTCGCGGGGTACATTGGCCATTCCCATCATGGAGCTACGTCAGATGTCTCAGTGGGTCTGATGTGAGGAGTGATCAGGAGGATGGAAGTAGGTAGGCCCCAGGTAGGCAAAAGGGCATTTGCGGTTGTGAAGACATGTCAATGGGGACCAAGCAATCGTGAAATGGTTTCAATTCCTTTTTCCATGAGCCATTGAAGAACTCTTTCTTGACTATGTTGTCTCCAAAGTCTAAACTAGATTGGGCAGGTTTTGTGATTCTCTCGTGGCTGAGGTTCCCGCATGAAAGAAGAGCCGGCCTCTTATTTGGGGTTGTCTCAAATTCAGGGCTGCCCAAGATCCCAAAGTCTTGTGGTCACGGATGATCTTTGAGACAGCCTCCCTTCTGACTCCAAGAAGCAGAGGAAGCTTCTTCATGTTGCTGCTCTTCGCAGCTTTGCTCTGATTCAGTTGGGCAGATGGGGTTGGATTTCGCCCATCTCAGGTTGATTCGAAAGATGGGCGAAGAGCCATTCGAGAAAGCCTTCAACTTCCTCTTGGATGCACGCATGCGGGGCATTCCAGAGAGTCGCTTGGCCTGGATAAGGAGGACCAAATGGTGGTGGAAAGGAAGACTAGCGTTTGAAATAGGGATGGACAGATCACGTTTCTCCTCTATTTGATTCGCACCCGGCTGTGGCTGTGGCCTTCAGGTGCTGTGAAGCGCGATTTAGAAGCTCTGGTTGGTCGGGCAGTCTATAAGTCAGGAGCTTGGAGACTTGACATGTCACAGGTGGTATTCCATCGGGCCTTGGCATATCAAAGTTTCCGTAGACTGTCATTTCTACCAAGCACTGCGTTTCAATCACATGCTCAAACACTGGTGGGAATGCATGACTAAAGCGAGAGTGTGGCTTTGCAACAATCAGGCAACATTGCTTTGATTTAGATCAGCTGGTGTATCAGCCGTGGGCTCAGACTCTATATCAGTCTTACTGGGCTAAACACCCACCTCACTAAGCCATCCAAGCCACTAGCAAGGCCCAGAGTCCCGACTCGGCTGGGTCCCACCCGTTCCTCGCCTCGTTGGGTCCCCACGGGTCTTGTGGACCGGACCGCCCCAGGGCTCGCTCCAGCGGATGAAGCTCTGAGAGAACGACGACGCGACGGTCGTCGGGGCGAAGCCATGGCGTCTGAGGATTCGACGGATGGAGACGACGGGAGACATTCCAACTTGACCAGGTCAAACATCTGCGGAGACGCAAGCAGAATATGCCTTCAATTGGCCTTGGACAGAAAGCTTTGCCCAGCATGCTTGCAGCGAAACTGCACATGTTGGATTCCGAGATGTCGTTGTGCAATGATTCGGCATCATTAGCCGGGATGTGTTGTCAATCCCCTAGTGGCTCCCTTTCAGAAGGAAGATTCCTCATGTGCAAGTTTGTGATTATAGAGATGCAGCTGCAGCTATCGTTTCACTACATTGTAGGACCCTAGGTTTCGATTTTCACAATCCTGTTGACTGGTCACAGATAATTCAGCGCAAAAGCCAACAACAAGTCACCTGGCAAAGAGGGCAGAGTAGGGCAAATCTGGTATGAAGAGGTACACGAACTGAAGATGAACGAATCCAAAGGACTTGCTTCCACGACCAAGTCACTCAAGGAGTTGTGGCGAAACGCGTGACCAGCCCTTGTCAATAGGAGAGGAGAACGAGCTTGTGCAGCTCGCAGAGGAAAACAGCTTCCCTTTGCAATGACCGGGTAACTATCGGACGGCTTTGTCACTCTCCATCGACTCCCAATCTGGAGTCTCATAGTATGGAGGCATGTCTACCATACCACACAAAGTTCTGAGAAATTAAGAAGACGACTTTCACCACCATTCTTGATTGAACCAAAATGTCCAAAGAACCTTTCCAACGACCCTCTGTTGATGCGACCTCTTGGAAGATACGCCGCGACGCACAGTGTGACCTCTTCGGCAGGCGCACAGCTCCCGATTGGAGTTTTCAGGACTGAAAGAGGGGCTTTGAACCTAATGATAGTCGCAAAGACCCTTGATGCTAGGGTGTAGCAGGTTGGCTGCATACCCTTCCAATCAGGAGTTTCCGTAAAACATGGCTCAAAGGGTGCAGAAGGGTGGCTCAGTCCAGGTATGGCTCTAAGGTGGCTCACCCCAGAGGGTTCTCCTTCCAGAAGGCATCAGAAGGCATAAAATAGATCACACAATACACAATAGATCATTAGATTGGCCAGTCTGGCTTGACCCAAGTACGCAGGAGATGACTGCAAGCCAGCTGCCGATGCAGCTGCGGCTGCTGCAGCTGCAGTTCTGGAGGCCTTATCAATGAGATGCGCGCTTTTTAGGTTTGTGGTTCTTAGGCTTACTTGCCTCAACAACTCGATCCCTGTCGCCACCCCTCCACCCAGAAACGAACGGGGAGAATGGAAGAATCATTGATTCTGATTCTGAAGCGAATGAACCAGCAGAAAGGGTGAAGATATGCGAACATGCCGTGAACACAATCCGTTTTCGATTTGTGATTCGTGTTCATGGCAAACCCCAGTCTCTTTTCGGAGTCCGGCCTTTGGCTGTCGGCAGGACGAGCCTGAATCCTGGATCATGGCGCTTTGGCTTTTTCGGGAAGAGTCTGGACCAAGGGAGTTTGGAGGGCTTTTTGTGCTTGATGGGCCTAGGGCGGCAAAGGGAGTGAATCACTCCTTTTTGGGGCGAATCGTCTTTAGAAGGTGTGACATTTGATCAGATTCTCCAATTCTCCATACACACTGTTTTTTCAGCATGCTGGGTGGTGGTTTTGCTTGTGGCCGGCTGGCGGCTGGTTGAATTCCAAACCCAACGACAAGTTTCGGGTCCCTTTTTGGCACATCGACAGTTTCAGATTTGGCAGTCTTAGTATGCAAAAGAAGGTCTCTTTCTTTTTTGAAGAACTCCTTATGTATAATGTTTAAATATTGGTCTTGGCTATTTTCTTCGTGACGTCCAAGGTGAACGACGCACTGGATCTTGACCCGCAGGAGCAGTGCCAAAGCCCCTCGCTTGGCGCCTGGAGCAGTGCCACTGCCAGCAACAGTCAGCTTGCAAACCGATTTGGAAGTGTTTTCATCCACAAAGTGCCTGACCTTTTCCAAGGTGTGGTCAGACCAAGGTCACAATTCATCTTGCTTGTGACGGTCATGACTTCACCGTCTCTACCTGAGTGCTTGGCGTTTTCATTGCTTCTCAGGCCTCCAACGCAGCGGGAACCGGTGCTGCAGAGGTCACCGACGGCAGTGGAGACGGGACCGGGACCGGTCCGGGACGTGGCGTCAACGATCCTTTTGGAGCACCCGGATCCTGGCAAAAACGAGTGGTCCAATTCAGAAGCTGCATTTAGTTCGGGCTGGTTTCTATTCATGTCAAGAGAGATGCACCAAGAACGGGGGTTGGTAGGTCTTCAGCCCGGGGGGTTGCCAGTCCCGTTTCACTCCTGAGGCTGACTTCACACACCATGACGGAGCTGGAGCCTTTTGGCTTCTACGGTGTGGCCCCTGCAAGGACGCGAAGATTTCCTGTGGAGACTGGAGGCAAAACGTGGAAATTACTGTATCCGAGTTTATTGAGGAGGTAACATGTATCAACTGTATGAACTACATGAACTACTATCAACTTAAAACTTGATACATATTTGAATGTATTTTTGTGGTCTTGAGGATACAAATGATGCAGAGTATGTGACTGGACGTCAGCTCAACAATAGAGAATTTGATATAGTGACGGAAAAAAAACTTTTCCAGAATCCAAACCCTTCACTTAGAACCAAAAGTTCTGCTTGCAACAGTCCAGGCTTAGAACATTGCCATGTTCTTAGTCTTTGTGTTAGAACATGCTTAATCCCCGTGTCTTGTCACATCTACATCACTCAGAATATCATGCTTAGAACTTAGAACACACACAATGACAGGAGAAGCCCACACCCAAACTCTTTGATCTGCTCTGGTCGCGTCATTCCGATTGTCAAGGCTACTTCCTGCAAACCCCTTGCAGCCGAGAGTCTGCATACAAGCGCATCTCCTCCACAGAGTTTATTCATCACCTGTGCATTCTCTCATGTTCATATCCCTTAAACATGAGGATGTTCCAAGAAAGGACAATTTTCCCCAATGTTCCGTAGAACGTTGCATTGATACAATGTTCTTAGCCTTACGCTTAGAATATCCCTTACCAGGGCAATTTTTGAAAAGAAGGTGTTTCCAAACGATGTTCTAAGTGGTTGTCCGTCGCTAAAATCCGAATCAGATCTAAATATCGACAAAGGATCAAAGGGGCTCGATGGATGGCGACACTTCACGAGTATTGAGGTCATCTCACTTCTTTTGATTTGCAGCCACTCACACCAGAACAGGCGGGGCAAAGGCATGATTCTTACGTTTTGTGACATGTTGGCACTGTGGGGCTTTGATGGAGAAACTGTTCCTTTCTTGTTACTAGTAGTAAGGCCAGGAGCCCCTAGTAGCGTCCTTGTTACTAGTAGCAATGCCTTACTAGCATTAACATGTTTTCTCTTCTTGAATTTCATGGTTCATGTCTACCCAATAGCTTTGCTTGGTCAGATGCATCTTGGCTGCCTACATACAAGACTTGACACTTCTGCAGCGGTCAAAGGTGACCGGTGACCGCCGGCCGCAGCTTGCTCGAACCATTCAGCATGTCACGGACGTCCTGTCTAGGCTCTTTCATCCAACATGTCCAGGGACCAGCCCTCGTAAAACCCCCGCATTTGGTTCGTTGATCGAAGCACGAGAGCAGCTGACGATTTGTCTGACCCACCGACCTCGCACATGCCGTTTGGTCGACTGAAGCATGGACAAAAGACAAGACATGGACAAAGCTCAAACCCTGCAGGATCCAATATTTCTCCCAAAATTGGAACGAACCTGCCACCGAACCTGGTTGGCTGAGACCGCATCCTTGGGTCCTCGACCGTGCAGGACTGGGGGTGATGAAATCGTCTTGAATGGCGGGAAGCATCAGACAGCCATTCGTTTTCGATTTTCTGATCGCCACAGTGTTTGGTATTTCATGAGTATAAAGAAATGCAGAGGTGGTGGACATGTTATGCATTTATATGCGTTCTGCCATATGGCATACATCATGCAGCATTCTCCCTCTCCACACTTTGATGGACCGATGGGTGGATGGGCTTTCAGTTGGAGCTGACTGCTCGTCATCTTCATGATGAAAAGTAGGAGCTGACTGCCGACCACAGTGGTTTCGCCTTTGGACATCTGTTCTTGAGTGACGGACAACGCATCCCATTCTTTCGACGCCTTTTCCCGACCGCGAGGCAATGGCACGATGTTCGCTGGACCACAAAAGCAAGTCCTGCGAGCAGGTGACCGTGTCCGTGGCCTCCTGAGGGCAGTGCCGAGTCATTCGTTTTTAAGGCAGAGGGGAGTGGGTAGTCCGTGGTGGGCTTAAGTAGCCTAGTAGTAAGGGGATGTAAGGGGTAAGTAGAAGATCTCAGGCTTACTGTCATGATTTGGTTCCTGAATTTTTTGAGAAACTCAACGACCAAAGGCTGGCTGTACAAGTTACTTTGTGCAAATTGAAAACGATGAAGGGGCTTTTCAAGGGTTTCAAGTTTGATTCATTTGCTCAGATTCTTAGGTGCACACTTCCAGAACCGCTATGGATCGAAGAGCTCAGGCTTTGTGAAACTCAGTGACCAACAGTGGGGGCAAGACCATTTGGTTGATACTGAGGACTTCTGCGACAGAGGGACATTTTCGGTGGACACCCATCCGTAAGAAAAGAACCAAGAGCATCCAAGAGCCTCTTTCCGAAGCTTGCTGTGCTGTAAAGGCCATTTTCTCAGGACGGTGGATGGTGACCAACTTCCTCACGTGGGTGTGTAATGTAATGTGTTAAGGTGTTTGCTGTGAAAACTCCGGTCGATGCACTCCGGTGTGCTGCAACAATCGACCTGCCCAGCTACGGATGTGGGCACTTTGCTGCAGTTCACCACTTCGGAGGTTGAGGCAGGGGTGATGGGTCGGGAGGAACAGGTTTGGTGGATTTGAGTTGTATGCATACATTCAAGCATGATGTTTGAACACATCGGGTGGATGAACGAAGAAACCTGGTGGTGGGAATGTCCGAAACAGACAAGAGACATGTTTGGTCACATCTTTTCATGTGTCGAGTGTCTGTGGCTGGCCCTGGCCAGGGCATGTCATGTTCGCTCACTAAAGCTGATTCGATTGGATCAATCCGGCCTCAGATTCACTTCGATGACGGTGCCGTCCAGTGCGTGTCTAAGGCCATGTTTGGGACCCGGTTGGAAGCCAGGGAGGAAGGCATGTTGTTTGGAGCAGACATGGGCCTGGCAAGAGAGTCTCTTATTTAGCCACATTTTGGATTCTTGGACCTTTCTGTTTCCTAGTTTCTGACAGATTGAATCAGGATGGGCAGGAGTTCGCTCTCTTTTCCCTGTGGCAAAAATCACTCAAGTTGATCAGGGAAAAGCCAAAGATGGGGAACAGAGACCAAAACTACTGGAATCGCCGTGGAAGGCTCTAGACGCCTCGGCCACGAGCCGAGAGGTCGTGAGACCGCCGCTCCGATCGTTTCTCCCGAGCGACGATCCGACCGACAGACCTGGATCGTGGAACGACTGGCTGCTTGGGATTTGGATTTGGCGCTTGAAGCTCAGAAGTCTGATGACGGATGTCTTTGTTTTCTTCCTTCACATTCCTTCAGGGGGAAATTCGACCGACTTCAGCTTGGAGGATCGAAGATCGAAGATCGATCGAAGACGGTCGAGGCCCGGAGACATTGTCTATGCACACTACGCCTCCGGGAAGGCGCCGATCGCCCGCGTGAACGAACGCGACCGGTGCACGCGACCTCTCCAAGGGCGTCCAAAGCGAGAAGCGAAGCAATTCCTGAGGAATGGTTGAGGTTATGAAATGGGATGAACAAGCAGACATGGGAAGCGTTTGGTCATTTTTGGTGCTTTTGCGTTTCGACCAGGTGTCACATCACTCTAAGTCTATCGAAGTGTGGCTTTCAGTTGGGCTGGATGGAATCAGTGGAGCATGTCTGGGACTATGACCACTCCTAGCGCTTGTAGTATCGTTGGATCGGGCGAGTTTGTACTTTAAGAGTAGCTTAATTTGGGAGTAGCGTCCTTGCTCCTAGTAGCGATGCCCTTTGTTCCTAGTAGCTTCTTGCTCCTAGTAAGGCCAGGAGCGCCCCGTTCGTAGCGTCCGATCGCCACTTCGGTCGTCAGTCCCGCCAGGGCCGGACGGCGAACACCGACCTCGGCATCGTAGTCGCTGTCTTGGATGGCGGCCGAGTTCGCATCAGGTGGGAAGCATGTGAGCATGTAAGGATATGCAAAGATATGTAAGGTGTTTGGGCCAAGGGTTCTTTGCAGGCCAAGCTGGATCAACTGCCACGAATCCATCATCCAACTACTCATTATTAATGCATATAACTAGCTTGATGATTTCAGTCTGGGATCGCAATCTGTGTGCCTTTGGTTCCTATTTGGGGACCATGAGGAGTTTAACACCGGAATGTGCCAGAGTCTGCAAAGTAAAGGAAGTACGTGAAGAACGTTATGGGCGAAAGAGCATCGACGCTGGCAGGTTTCAGGATCAGATCATCCAGACGGTCCCTATGGGATGGGTGCGGCACAGAGTGGTCACGCCCATTTTCAGGTCAACTTGACGTCCTGAATGATCGAACATGAAAACATCACGTGACTCCCCTTTGACATGCTTTGGGCATCTTTGGGCGGTCTTCTACGTTCGGTGCCATCGTCCAAACGTCCGAAGGCCGCCTACGAACGTCATCTCATGACTCTGTCCTCCCAGGTGGACCAGGTGATGCGCCTGGAGCCCGGTGATCGGGTCAATGCCTTCTTCAAGGTCAACGACGGGAGGCTCCGCCTTTGGAAGAACGGCCTCCCTTTTGACTTCGAAACGCGGCTGGAAGAACTAGAGCACAGTGATCGGTTGTGGCATCGGCCGGGGGTCACCGTAGTGGTGACCAGATTCTCCAGTAAAAGCTGCTGTCAAGGGTGGAACGGGACCAGGAATGGCCAGAGGGTCTGACGCACCCAGACGTTGGTGGTATCTACTGTAACATCTTCTAACAGCATCAGAATCTATCATATTTCTTTATTTCTTTTTCTGTCAAAACCTAAACGTATGCTATAGCTGTCTACAGCGAGCGGCTCGTCGCCTCAGGGGCGCTAAGAGTGTCAAGACGGACACTGGGTCAGTGCTGGCAGTCACCAAAGAAGATGTGTATGTAGGCCAGCTGCGCCACCGGACTGGGTTCCAGGCATAAGCATAAGCATGGCTGACCCCCAAAATGGGCATTTTCCTCTTAGGCTGAAGAGCTGAACCTGACGATCAAGAAGCATCGAATTCTTGTCCAAAGTTCCCTGATACAAGGACATAAAAGAAGAGCACTGGAGTTCCCCAGATCACAGAAAGAGCCGACTGTGCATGGCCATGAGTCTCTCGTTGATGTGAGTGGCCAGTAATCAGCCCACTCGCAGTCTTTGATGACAACGTCGAGCAGAATGTGCCAAAGACTTGGGCGCGAAGCCCAGGGATGGCTGGGTCTGACGTTGAAAAACTAACGATGGATTGAGAGTAGTTTGCCCTTCAAGCCTTCAAGTATAGCAATGATGTGATGTAGAATCGTGATATCACTGAGATGCCAGACTGGAGAGCGCAAGCATTACAGACGAGAGACGGCATCCAACATCCAACAAGATTTGGAAGACACCGGTTCTCCACCTGGTCCCAACCTTGTCACCGACCTTGCTGGGTGGGTGTTGACCCTTCGCTCTTCCCGAGGTCTGTCATCGCACCAAACCTTGGAGCATCCAACTGGAGGTCGGCAGTGTGGCTGACGTGCATTTCGAGGCGGGCACCGGAGCCAGGGAGGAGATGTTGGCGGAGAAAACACATGAAAACACACATTGGAAGCAACTTGGGGGGGTGTGTTCCGTCACTTTTTTTTGGATGTTTTTTTTCTTCCCCGGCCAATTCAATTCACTGCTTGACGCCTTCGTTCGCAATTCAGTCGCTGGCTGACGTCCCACTCTGGTCATCTCTGGTCAGGCACCAATGACGGCCTATCCTTGGGCTGCAGGGGGGAAATCGTTGACTGTTGGGCTGGGGCTCATTTTACTTTACCTTTTTTTTTTCCTCTCCTCTCTCTCTCTCTCTTACTTAGAAATCAAGTGGCTGGCCACGGCAAGTCGGTGGCCACACCCAGCAGCTGTCTTCCTAGGTTGTCCCGAGTGTTGTCTCTTTGTGTCCGCACCTGTTCTCGCTTTGCTGGAGTGCTGATGACAGGACCCAAATTGTTTGCCGTTCA